TTTGCTATAAGAATATATTAATATCCATTGAAAAACGGTATTGCACCTTCAGTCGGAAGCTTAAAAGAAAGTGAAGGAGTCATCATATATATTCTTGATCAGCATCAACAGGCAAATTTTCTAGCTTCTTCGGGCAACAAAAATTTTTTCAGAAATTTCCCATTATTTGAAAAAAAGGAAAGGGTTACATCATTAAAATTTGCAAAAATCGGCCACAAATTCACATTTTAAATGGAGTATGCAGTTTGATTAGTCTGCTAAAAATGAACATACGAGCGCTTTCCGAATTGAAATTAATGATGTTTTGGCTTAGTTATGCGTTTTTTAAATTTGATTTGTTGAAAAAATTTGCATATAAGAATATAGTTAATATCCATTGAAAAACGGTATTGCACCTTCAGTCGGAAGCTTAAAAGAAAGTGAAGGAGTCATTTCCGACCCATAAATCATATATATTCTTGATCAGCATCAACAGGCAAATCTTTCTAGCTTTCTTCGGGCAACAAAAAATTTTTTCAGAAATTTCCCATTATTTGAAAAAAAGGAAAGGGGTTACATCATAAAATTTGCAAAAATCGGCCACAAATTCACATTTTAATGGAGTATGCAGTTTGATTAGTCTGCTAAAAATGAACATACGAGCGCTTTCCGAATTGAAATTAATGATGTTTTGGCTTAGTTATGCGTTTTTTAAATTTTGATTTGTTGAAAAAATTTGCTATAAAATATATTAATATCCATTGAAAAACGGTATTGCACCTTCAGTCGGAAGCTTAAAAGAAAGTGAAGGAGTCATTTCCGACCCATAAATCATATATATTCTTGATCAGCATCAACAGGCAAATCTTTCTAGCTTCTCGGGCAACAAAAATTTTTTCAGAAATTTCCCATTATTTGAAAAAAAGGAAAGGGGTTACATCATTAAAATTTGCAAAAATCGGCCACAAATTCACATTTTAAATGGAGTATGCAGTTTGATTATCTGCTAAAAATGAACATACGAGCGCTTTCCGAATTGAAATTAATGATGTTTTGGCTTAGTTATGCGTTTTTTAAATTTTGATTTGTTGAAAAATTTGCATATAAGAATATAGTAATATCCATTGAAAAACGGTATTGCACCTTCAGTCGGAAGCTTAAAAGAAAGTGAAGGAGTCATTTCCGACCCTATAAATCATATATATTCTTGATCAGCATCACAGGCAATCTTTCTAGCTATCTCGGGCAACAAAAATTTTTCAGAAATTTCCCATTATTTGAAAAAAGGAAAGGGTTACATCATTAAAATTTGCAAAAATCGGCCACAAATTCACATTTTAAATGGAGTATGCATAGTCTGCTAAAAATGAACATACGAGGCTTTCCGAATTGAAATTAATGATGTTTTGGCTTAGTTATGCGTTTTTTAAATTTTGATTTGTTGAAAAATTGCATAAAAAATATAGTTAATATCCATTGAAAAACGGTATTGCACCTTCAGTCGGAAGCTTAAAAGAAAGTGAAGGAGTCATTTCCGACCCTATAAATCATATATATTCTTGATCAGCATCAACAGGCGAATCTTTCTAGCATCTCCGGGCAACAAAATTTTTTTTAGAAATTTCCCATTATTTGAAAAAAAGGAAAGGGGTTACATCATTAAAATTTGCAAAAATCGGCCAAAATTCAATTTTAAATGAGTATTCAGTTTAATTAATCTGCTAAAAATGAACATACGAGCGTTTCCGAATTGAAATTAATGATGTTTTGGCTTAGTTATGAGTTTTTTAAATTTTTATTTGTTGAAAAAATTTGCATATAAAAATATAGTTAATATCCATTGAAAAACGGTATTGACCTTCAGTCGGAAGCCTAAAAGAAAGTGAAGGAGTCATTTCCGACCCTATAAATCATATATATTCTTGATCAGCATCAACAGGCAATCTTTCTAGCTATCTGGGAACAAAAAATTTTTTCAGAAATTTCCCATTATTTGAAAAAAAAATTTCATTAAAATTTGCAAAAATCGGCCACAAATTCACATTTTAAATGGAGTATGCAGTTTGATTAGTCTGCTAAAAATGAACATACGAGTGCTTTCCGAATTGAAATTAATGATGTTTTGGCTGAGTTGTGATATTTTTAAGTTTTAAGATTCCCAAATAAGTTTACTTATAAATGTAATAAAAAATATTGATTAAAAGTCCAGAGCAGCAGAGACCAATAGTCCTATTACACTTGGCCCAAAACAGTATACTACATTTGAACGCCGTTCCGCCGTACCCACCGCTAAAGTATGCAACATAAAAGAATGCGCAAGAGTGGCCAAAGTGTTGCATATTTTAGGGTGAATGAATTGCAACTGGCGGAAGTGCTACCGCGAGGGTATGCAACACATAAGAATACGAAAAGTGGCCGAAATGTTGCATCTTTTAGGATGAAAAATTAGCAGCAGGCGGAAGTGTCAATACAGCCATACTTTTGCACTGAACTTGGGCGGAAGCCCACTTTGTAATGCAAAAATCGGTAGTTCGCCTCTAGAATGCATTCGGAAAGGTGTCAGAAATACCAATTTTAATGATTTGATTTTAAATTTTATTCCAGACTTTTATAGCGTAAAAAATTACGTATACGCATAGGTTTTTCCCTGATGGGTATTTTAATTGTAGTCAAAACATGTTACGCAGTGAAGGAGTAATTTCCTACACTATAAATCATATATATTCTTGATCAGCTTGAGACGAATTGATCTAGCTATGTCAGGTCAAAATCTATTTTTTTTTCAAAATATTCAAAATTTTTTTCATTTTATCGTTAAAATTGTCAAAAAATTAATATAAACCCATTAAGAACTAATATGGGAAAGCTTTCTAAATTAAATTAATGCTTTTTTGGCCGAATTATGAGATTTTAAAATTTTGATTAGTAGAAAAATCCCATGATTTGATTGAAAACTTCATGGGTATTTAAGCTTTGCATTCCCGATGTTAGTTTCTTTTCTTATTAATTACAACTTTCACCTATTTATATTGAATTTTTTAGCTTTTGCCCTTGGTCGTTGGCATCTCTGTTGGCAAAGCCGTTGTAACCAATGGGTGCGACTGGGCGGGAAAAGCGCCTCGCAGCTGGAGGCCCCCAACTTTTCCAAAACGAAAGCGTCTGATGTCACATCAATTTGCGTAATTAGGTGTCGCGGCCTTCGCACACTTTGCCGGCTATGTGATGATGATGATGGCGGTGACCCCGGGGACGTTTCGCTTCTGCCATTTTGTGCTATTGAAAAGTTTTGCAGAAAAGTATTCAATCGTTGCCACAATGGATCAAACGCCATAAAAAATTTGTTGTGGGCCGCCCAACGATTTCTGCTTTTCTGTGGCCGGCGGGACATAAAACAACAATCGGTATGGATTTGGAATGGGAATGGAAATGGAAATGGCCCGCAGTGCCATGCGATCTGATATTTTTTCTGGGGGCTTTCGGCAGCGGAAAAGCTGCATATATGGTCTTTTTATATGGAGCAGGATATATAGAGGAGGAGGAGGATGAGGAGGAGGTGTATAAGGAGCCTTGGTAAAATACGATTCCATCAGAGTGTTTTATGAGTTCATAAAATTTGGTGTGTAGGTGTTTATTATCGTTGTATTATTTTGGTTTGTCCCTCTCGCCCCCTACCCAACAATACTTATATAGCAGGGGAAATTGAAATTGTGAAGTTACTTTTCTGCTGAATATTTTATCACCGTCCTCGTGCCATACTCGTAAATATGAATATCCCACGGCCAATATCTTAAAGCTGCAGGCCGCATTCCGGCAAACCGTAACTTGATTAGAAATAAGGGGAGTCCATCCGTCCATCCGCATCGTTGGTTCGCCTCCTCAAATGAAAGGCCATATAAAAACTTTATTAAACGCAACTACGCATAAAAACAAAACGATGACAAAGTACGCGACCTCGTTGTCCCATCGTCGTTGGCAATTTTTTTCTGCTTTTCTGTTTTTCCTGTTTTTGTAGCAACTCCCTGAAGCTGCCGGGCAGCGGCCTGCAACAATTCACTTCAAGATGTAGCAAATTTCATTACAATCGTAACAAGAAAACGTGTCTCAACAGCTAAATTGCAAGGGACGGAAAGCAAATCAGAAAACTGGGGCGACGCGCCCACGATTTTGGGACGAAAAGCCGTAGGCCTGATTGGGCTTGGATTGCTCCAGAGTTTCCCAAGCTCTTGCCACTCTTTTGCGGGGTAAATCAATATTTATAAAGAAGTCTGCCGCTCTAGTTGACTGATTTAATCCTGAATAATTATAATTACAAAGGTTTTCCACATAGTTTGACCTATGGCATATGTAAAGAAGATAAGTTTTCTTTCGCCTCTTTGCTACCCGGAAAAAGTTGGGCTGGTTGCCCGTATTATTATTTCTCCCTTCGGCTTATTGCTGTCATACCATTTTTTGTTTGCCTTTCCCTTTGGGGTCGATAAACAAACTATATACATATGTCTGTATCTTTTGTCTGTATCTATCTGTATCCTTTATTTTTATTTTATTTTTTGCTGACTAGCTGCTTCTGCCTTTTTGTCTTTTTATGGGCATCTCGGAACGGGAAGGAGATGGGTGGGAAAAAGGCCAGAGCATCAGTTGGAGATGAAGAAAACGCAAAAGGTGTTAGTGAATTTTATTCAAATTTGACGCTAATCAAAAGCTGCGTGACAGGAAAGTTAAAAGCAGCGAGAAATCCAATTCGCTTGGGATTTGCATTCGTGCTTGGCTACCCCAGAGGCAAGATTTATCCAAGTCTGGGGATTGCTTAGCCGATTAGCCAGACTATTTTATTAGATTGTGTTTTAAAGAAGAACAAGGAAGAATATTACATTTAAGGCCATCTTAGTCTGATTATTTATGGTTCCTTCAAAACAAAAATATATAAATATTAAGCTCAAAATGAATAGTTAATCAATAAGCCATCTCCTTGAAGTGAATAGCTTTTCTGGTGTTTTTCTGATAAAGTCCTTTATTGGCATAAATCAAAATCACAAGCGAATGGGTAAGGTTAATCTGAAGCTATCTTAGATTTATCCTAGAACAATATCGACCGCGCCATATTTGCTCACGTTTCGAACGATTTTCTACGTGCTGCCTAGGTTGGGAACATAAGAACAATCCAAGTAACTATTTTCGGGAAAGTACTCCAACGTGCAAGTGTCTGGTTTGTGCTCCTCCTTTTGATACTCTCTCTCTCTGTCTCTTCCAGCCGATCGACTGCCTCTGACGGCCTAGACGCCCTTGGGCTTGGGCTTCCGCAATCGCTTCCAGGAAGGGAAGAGGAGGCTCCATACCCGCGCAACCGTCAGACGTCGCCGGCTTCATTTGTCCACCGCCGTGCCAGCAGGATTAACCCCGCCACCATCGCCTTCGTCGACCGACTGCTCAATGGCCTTGGCCGCACTGGGATCCGCCACGCTGCCAAAGTAATTGCCCGTCGGCTCGATCTCCACCACGCGCTCCACGTCGTCCAGCTTGGGTGGTGCTGGCACCGTAATCATAAGTATACCATCCGCGGAGAAGGTGGCTCTCGCCTGGGTGGCATCGTAGTGGCGTGGCAACTTGTAGGATCGCGTAAACTCCCGGGTGATGCACAATTGGCCCTTCTCCGCCCGGTCATCCGCCTGCTGTCCCTCCACGCACACGGTGTCACTGTTCTTTGCCTTGACAGTCAGCTCCGAGATCTGGAAGTGATGCACATCGAGGACCACCTTGAAGGTGCCACGACCCAGCGAGTCCGGTTCCGTGCCCGTCTCGATCACCACGCGACCCACCAGACATGAGCCATGGCACCAGGCACTATCCTCCATCCGAAGGTGAAAGTCACGGGCACATACATCTAGGTCGTGGGAAAGATAGTAGCGACGCTGCCGGCACTTGGACTCCCCGGTGGACCAATGGCGTCGCGGTGGCCAATGGTAGTGGCCCCCATGACCCTCGTGCTCGTGCTCCCAGTCCCAGTCCCAGTGGATGGGCATGACTATGTCTCCGGTCTCCTGCCTCCTATCTCCGGTTCGTTGGACACGGAGCAAGCGTGTTGATTTTTGGCTTAGATGGCCAAAAAAACCGTTGCTCTCCGCCCGGTTCGAGTCTTACAAGCTAACTGCAGTGCAGGCAGGAAAATGGTATGGTAATCGGCGGAACTTGGAGCAGCACAACTGTACCTGGCACCACTCCTCAACTACTGAGCTATTTTTTGCAATGCCTTTAATGCCGCTAATAACAACAGTACGGCATCGATAAGTACTATAAGGATATCATAGAATTTGTAAAAGGATTTTCAATAAATTAAAATGGAACCTCAAATATGAGACTTATTATTTGACAGAGGGTTTGATTCAACCAAAAGATCCCTTCGGGTTAGGTTCCACTGTATATCGCATTCCTGCAGAGGAACACGCGTTTGGCCCAGAAACTGGGTCTCAGCCTTGTCCGACAACCCAACTGTTTGATCAATACCCGTTCCAGTCCCAGCCAGCTCGCGTCCAATCAGCCGCTGAAGTTTCCTGCTTTTATTGCACAAATGGCGCCGAGCAGCCGGAATAGGAATCGGAATTGGAAACAAGACAAGGAAAACATACTCCGCTGCGAGCTGAGCCAGTTATGAGATAATGCCAAAATTTTGAAGGAACCAACTGCGGAGCTGAAAGGAGTGGCGATGGCGATGGTGCCACTAATTGTGGCATTGTCACCCCATAACTGAAGGACAAGTAAAGCAAAGCGAAGCCACACCAAAGGAACGAAAGGAGGAGCCTGGCTGACGACAAACTGTGGCAAATGAAACTAATGAAAATCGTGACCCTTATCCACATTGGATGCAATGGCACTGGGAAAATGTCTGATTAAATTGAAATTATTCTAGGAAATTTAAATTTTTTTCTAGAGAAAAATAAACATTTTGGTTTCTATTTTAAATATATTTTATAATGAGAATTTGCTTTATGTTATGCTAACTTTGGTGAGAAATTTAAAAGATTTACCCTTCTGGGTTACCCCTAAATATTTAATGCTAAAACCTCAATCACACATTGCCTTCCCTGATTGTAGCTTGCTTTTTCCCTCAGTGTATGTAAGTGCATGTTCACAAAATCTAGCGAATACAGGGTATTTATTTTCTACCAAACGTCTCGACTTTCGATTATGAGAAAAGAGAAAGGAGAATTGCTCAGACCAAATTGCTTGAGTAATCATCAAGGATATCCTTGTATTGCATCCTTTGACACCCTGTTTACTCAGAGGGTGTGCTGCAATGCATTGTCCTAGACAACGCCAACGTTGCGTTGTCAAGACAGTTGTTGCCTCTTTGTTGCTGCTATTTCGTATTACTGTTGCCCCGGGCTGAGCCAATTTGTAAAATATATACGATATATATTTTACTTATGTCTCGTGCTGGGGTCAGGCAATTTGGCTGCTCGACTGCTGCTGCTGCTGCTGTTGCTTGCTACATGCTGCTGAAATTGAATTTTTGCCCTGGCTTTTAAGCAAGTTTGACAAATTCTTAGAGCCGGGCCAAAAGCGACTGCAACAGTTTCGTTCGGGGCCGTAGGGTGGGAACTGACATCGACAGGCAGTCAAGCCCTTCCACTCGATGGCGCTGAGACAAATATAGATTACGCAAGTGCTTAAGGTTGAGCTAATATTAGCTGAAAATACCAATTGCCCCTTTAAGAGGTCAATTGGTTTGCTGTGCTACAAAGTTGTGTAAATGCTTGCCAGCCATTTTCCACATAACACATCGGTGCCAAAGACGTCAAGATGCCTCTCCTCTTCCTCCTAATCGTAATACTACTCTTTTCACATGCTCTCGTTTATGGAATTAGCAGGAACCTAAGCAAAAGTGATCTCTTGGACCACAAGCCACTTTGTTGTTCAGTTTCTTTCCGACTTTAAAGCCGTTCGCACTCGAAAAGTAAGCAAGAATAGGGTTTGATTTTGATACTAAGTAAACAGGAGCACTTGCCAGTGAACAAAGTGTTTTAATAACGTGTAATAACTGAAAGCCATCAATATATAAAGTCGGAAGTAACTAAATTTCGGTACTCAATTGAACACAATCGAAGATGGCTTAATGGGCGGCATTTGCTTAGCCGCAGTTGGTAAACCGAATCTAATAATAGTATTAGTGCCGTTGTAACACTTAATCAGGCCCAGCGACCTTGTCGTTTCTGCTGCTGCTGCGCCTCCTCCTGCGACCCACATTGCGAAAGGACACAGGATTAGGGGCGCAATTAATGGCCGAAGCCGGCTGGCAGCAGCCATAGATTATTTTACACATGTGCCAGCCTGGGATGGCTGGTCTGCCGCAAAGCGGCGAATGCGAAACCGAATGCGAATGCCAACGCCAAGGCATGTTAATCAAAGCCCCAACCTGGGGGGGTCCTGGGAGCTTTGGGAGTAGTCCTGCTCTGGCTTGTGGGCTTCTTTGGCCGTCGGCTTTGGGATGCGTTAGCGCCGTGATTGGAAAATAATTGCATTCATTAAGTGGGTTATGGCCTCGCCTCGGTCCCGGTTCTGGGCCCGATAAACATCTGCTAACTGGGTCAAAATTCGGCGACTGGCAATTCAATAGATTAACGGTCGAACGCCTTTAACTTCGATGCCTTAAGGTTTCTTGTGGGAACTTCAGTATGAAAGGAAATTTCTTAAAGGAAATTCAGGATTAAATACATTTCACTCATGCAAAATATTCGAGTCCGACTTCCGTAATTGTTTTTAAATAGTCATCGTGTGTGGTAATCAAGAGATGGGTTTGTATTGGCCCTATTGCGGTTATAAATTACAGTGCCCCAAAAGTGAACAGCTCTTCTCTGCTGCGGTGAAATCAAGCATTAAAAATTCACTTACTTCCGGTTATTTTAGTACGCAAAAGTAAAGTCATCGGACGGATTTAATGTGTAGTCGTTTGTATAATGCAAAGTTGGTAAATGTCCAAATGAATGACTTCACTCACTTCACTTTAGTTAAAATATTTACTAATACTCTTGCCCCATAGTCAGGGGAAACATGTGTTTGCGGCTTTGTACGCCAGTCATTTTTTACGCATCAATGCGTCCAACTGGGCCAAGCTCTGGGTAAGGGTTTGGATTGAGTTGGTCCCTGCCACGTGGGGGAACTATGTATGTTACTACCGGGTATGGAAAAGAGCACAGAAAAGGGTGCGGGAGTTCCGGAAAGGAAATAAGAATGAGAAGGGATGTACGTAACCACATACAAATATGCATAAAAGTAATCACAAATGGGGCTGCTACGGTGTACTGGCCATGAAAGGGTCCTGGCGAATTGTTTTAGTTCGGGAACGCATAGTTGGCTTCACAGGATAACAAAAATTCAGCTCCGAGAATAGATTCGGTTATCGATTTGATGGGGTTGGGGTTGGACGAACGGCACATATACATTTATTTATTTGTTTGAAAGGTAATATACGGATGATCAAACTTTTATTCGGATGTTATATCAAATATAAATAAACCACATTGCTTTGGGCTCAATTTTGCTATATATTAATAAACAATGGGTTCTAAATTTGTTTGACCTTTTTAAGAATATAAATAAAACAAATAGAAATATATTTTTAAGTCGTTGAAGAACTTCAAATCTCCCAAATAAATTTAATATACCTTTGCTGGGTTTAGAGCACCCAGCAGTTTGAAATGCAAGGAAGAATTCGTTTCCGTACCTATAAACTTTGTATATTTAAAGTTATTTCAATCTTTTGAGGGGAATTAAACACCACATAATTGGAAATCAGTAAAATAAATTTAAAATAAAACAAGATAGGAAACTAAAATTGACACGCTGAAGTAAATATAGCCCTGCACTTTGGAGTTGAACTATAGAATAGACTCGGAAATTGATCATAACTATCATAACAAATTATTCTTTGTATCGATATATAATATGGCCATTTTTTCAAACAATCTAATTTTAAAAATATTACAACTTAACCAAGACAGCATTAATATCTATTCGGAAATTATTCCTATGTTAGTTAGTTAAAAGGTTAACAAATCTGCATACTCAATTTAAAATTTATTTTGACAATATTAACGATGTAACCATATAAAATTTTGTAAATATTGAAAAAAATATATGTTGACCGGGCATAACATAGCTATATCAATGTCTCTTCATGCTGATCAAGAATATACATGATTTATAGGGTAGAAAATGCCTCCTTCGCAGCGTAAAAAGCGTCGGAATAAATTATAATACGCCCCAAGGGTACCTCAATATGAAATACAAAATCAACTTTAAGCCCCTTTGAATGCTTTCGAATGAAAGCAAATATTCACAACTTCTCCGAATTAAGTTCATAGGCTGTTTGAACAAACATTTTTTGACAGCACTGCTCCGTGACATGCTTTTGCAAACTACACTTTGGCACTGGAACACTAAAAGCATTCCTGCCAGCGCTTAAATTTTTGTTAATGAATTGCGAATTCTATCGGCATCTGAACCGCACTGCAAGACCCCGTCCACACCAGCCACATTTCCCGGACAAGGACGAGAGCGGAGAGCCAAGGACCTCCCCATTCTCTCATTTCCCATTCACGCAACACATTTAAAGTTGGGGCTTTGTGGTGCGGCTGCAAGGCGAATTGTCAAGGCGACATGCTCGCAGCTAGCTTGCTGGGAAGGGCTAAGCCCTCATAACCCCAGCCAAGTCGCCCAAGTAACAGCCCCTCGTTAGTTACGGCCATATGCTTTTTATGTAATACACCCAAGAGGGGATCGGAGGAGAGGAGGAGTGCCATTCGTATGTGTTGGCCACACATGTGCTCGGTGGCTGCCTCCGCTCGTGCTCCACCCTATTGGATTTATGATCAATCACTCGGCTAGGCTTACTGCGGTTAGGTTTCGGCCCTGACCAGGACCCCGACTTCGACTCCGAACTTCGACTCCAACTAAAGATATATATATATACACGGCGACTCAGTCCGTCTGGCGACCACGACGGCTGACAAATCTTTATCTCGGCCTGACTTATTTATCCTTTCTGGCCGTTTCGTTTCGCCTCCTTTCGTTTTTATTTTGCCAGGCATTTTTATGTCATGTTTATTGATGTGTAAAAGTCATAAAGTCAAATTGAACACTTGTGCGCTCCCGGGATGTCCCTCGCGAGTCTGTCTCTCTGTCCTCCCGAGTGTGACATTGGCTGGCGACGGATACGGACGCGGATATGACGACTGCCAAGGAGCTGGGGATGACTGTTTCCCTATTTATATTTTATACTATTTTATTAAAACTCCCAACTCTTGGGTTTATGGTGTGGCATGGCCCGGGTATTTGCCGGAGATAAGCAGCTGCTACTGATGGGGGATAGTTCACTCACCTCGTCGCCCGACTGGCATTAACCGCAGCTCCGTCTTTGAACCATTGGAACTGCATCCGTGATGAGCCCTGGGCGGTGCAGGATATGATGAACTCGCTGGCCTCGCGTACACCCGCTTGCGGTTGATTGACGCTCAGCTCCTGAAATGGAGACAATGTTTCACTAATTAGACACTGGACAGCTCTGAGTTTGGGGGTTTCGGTGTTGGTTTTGGTTTTGGTGTTTCCGATGGGGTTTTACTACGGATATCCAGCCCCGTCAAACTCTCCAGTGAGGTTTGGCGGCTTGTTCGTCATGTTAATGCAACTTAATTGCAGGCCATCCGTCCGTTTGTCCATCCGTCGATCTGATGAGGCCAATTGTTCAAGCTGGTCGAGCAGGAGGCCGCAATTAATAAATAATTATTTTCGCTGCTGGGCCGAGTGTCAAGTGCCACACTGTTGACATATTTATGTGCATATTTATTAACACGGCACTCTGCTACATTGGCTATTACCGCGTTGTTTGTTATTTTTACTTTTTTCCAACACGTGCCTCAATAGTTAATAAATTATTGTTTAATATGCATCGGAAATGGAACGAGAGACCGGGCCCAGTAATGCGTATGCCGTCCAGTATATTTATTACGCTTTTAATAGGCGGCCATCCTGTCCCCGATTGGAATTAATGAAAATGCCATTGGGCGGAAATCAATGATGGAATGCCGTCGAGTGATGGATGTTCCAATGGGAAAAACTCGCTGCGACGACGAAAATTTAAAATTTATATATTCCGAGATGGCAAAAATTTCAATAGATATCTCTGGGAATGCTTTACAAATGCGTCTGCCCTTCTATTCAAAGCCAATCAAATATATATATTTTGAATGTAATAAAAATTGCCACGTTTTGTGTTAAAAAAAGAGAAGATGGATTAGGGCTGTGCCCTATACACTTACCAGCAAACTCAGAGGCGGATTCTCATCGAAGTGATGGAAGTTGGCCACCAGGGTGAAGTTCCCTATCCTGCCCCGTTCCACCATTCGAGTAATGGCATCCCGAATGCGTTGTGAGTCCCCTTTGACGCCAAAGAAGTGGAAGGTTATATCCAGGCGATCGGTGGTATTGGAGATCAGCTCCAAATCGCTAATCTTGGTAATATTAAAGTTGCGTAGAACGCGTCCCAACTGAAAGGCAAGAATAAGAAAGAAAGCTTTACTTTCTAGCATTACAAGGAGTTAAATAAATTTATTATATACTAGATCCATTTCATTGGCTTTCCTTTAAACACGCTACTGGGACAAACAAATTCCTAGATGTGTTACCTTTTTGGTCCAAAACTGGGTCCTTTTTCATAATTTGAAATTAATGATAATATATTCGGGCAAATAGCACCACTGGGCATTGGACCCGCATCGCAGTACGGATATCAGGTATCTAGTGTCGAGTTTGTACGGGAAAAAAGAAAAGTGGAAAGCAGAAAAGTTCACCTAACCACCTTACACGGGAGAGCGGTTAAAGAGCGGCCTTGGACTTTGGCTGCTTTGTCCTTATCGTCCTGGCTTTAAGCTGCGGGCCAAGCCTGTCCGCTGGAATTGGCCATAAAAGGACTTTTCCCATCCGCCAATGGCAGCAGCGTGTGTCATAATGCAGGACTCAACTTGCGGCCATTCTGAGCGTGCTTATCCTTGTTTAAATGATTATGCATTATGCCAAAGCCGTTTGCTCGACGGTCCACCTAAGTCCTAATACGGTGGTTTGCCGCTCTGTTGTCTAAAAGTTTTACCCACTTTTTCTCTGTGGCCTGCTTAAATGTATATATATATTTATTCATTTCCTTTTTTATACCAGAAAAGCTCACACAGTCAATGTTTTGAACAGGCTAAAAACTTCTACAAAAATTCTTGCCTTATTATTTGTTTGTGAGAATAGAAGCTTAAGTTGTTCAAGTCGATAAACCAATGAAAGGGTTGAGTGAGTGTCCTTCAATTCCCTTTACTTTCTCAATTTCTCAATTATTTAGTGGTGCTTTTCCTTTCGTGTGAGTCACAGACATAACCAATTAGCGCCCTTAATTAAGATGGCATTAAACCCCACAGAGAGAGAACTGACCGCTGAGAATGTGGCGTGCCATGAAATCAAAGCTGACAGGAAAGACCTCCTCCTGGTCACCAAGGCTGTGGTGTGGCCAAAAACTTATTGGAAGTAATTATGGAGCACCCCGAACCTTGGCTCCGAGTACACTTCTTCAATTGGCCTTTCTCCGCACTGCACTTTGTAATTATTTTTGCCGAATGCCAAAACTAATGCAATTCTCGTGCCCTAATTAGTGGCGCTTGGAGGTTTGGCCCCGGTGCGGTACTCATACAAATTAGTGGAAGGCAGGCCCATTGTTTGGGGGCACACAAACACTCGGATCGACAATGGAGCACCCGGGGGCACCCGGAGCAATCCTGGCGAGAAGTGGAAGGCAAAGCTCCCGGGCCTGCCACTCTTCACAAGTGGCCACGGCATCGTCGTCATCGCGGCGAAAACTTCTCCCAAGTTGTGTAAATATATAGTTACGGAATTAATCAGAAAAGTGCGCACAAAAACGAAGGCAGCAAGCAAGAAAATAAATATTTTCGGTTAATATAAAAGAATTTCCTTCCATTTTTTGTGCTTCCTGTTTGTATTTTTTTAATAAATATGCCGCAAAATGAAAGATGGCAAGTGGTAAAATATGAATAAAAAAAAGTGCAACAGTGAACGTGCTGCAAAGTGGCTTCGGTTGTTTGGCTCGAAAGTTCCTAAGAGGCTTGTGGGGAACGGCTGACTGAGTCCGGCCAGAACAGAGCAGGGCCAGATCCTGAGCCAGGAGCGGAACGAAACGGAACGGGGGCAGGACGAACGGGTTCCCAGGGACCAAGAACACAGGACAGAGGCCCAGACGAGTGTGAGTAGGCCGTTTGTTTGCGACTGCTGTGAAAAGTTTTTAAGCAAAAGTGTTGCAAACAAAACAAAAAAAAAAAAAAAACTTAAAAAAGCCAAGAGAAAAAGAAACCAACTGTTTGCGGAAAAAGTTGCCTCGTGCCTCCGGAGGATCCGGTTAAGAGTTCCCGGAAAATGTCAACTGGCTGCTCATAAGGTAAATTCAAATATTGATTTTCCTGAGAAGCTGCTTATTGTGAACTTAGTTAACCAGCAGCTCAAATCCACAAAAAAGATGCACTAACAGAAAGCTTAAAGTGGTATAGAGATATAGAAAAGAATTATTATAATTTAAAGTTATAAATACGTTTATTTAATCACAATTTCTTTCAATATTTTATCCCTTTTTTCGGCCACCCAAAAACCCTTGTAAATATTCCTCCTGCTTGTGCAAAAAGGGAAATGCACTGCCAGCTCAAGTATCACCGTGATTTTATGGTGAAGTAAAAATCGCAGCTCCATTAAATCTCGGATCCTTATTCGTTTACACTTTCGCTTCGCTGGCAAGCCGGAGCTCTCCAGAAGATCCTGCAAGGTATTAACCCAGGGCATCAGCATTCCAGAGCCAGTAATACTCCGGAGCCCGGGACTTTCATGTTCATTCTCCTCCTCTGTGTTTCTGTGTTTAATCGCACTCGCATCGTTTTTATCTCAACTCCCGGTGCTAATGGTATTTTAATTTCGAGCATTCGAGCAAATATCCTTGAGCAAGCATTTTACCTTTTTATTGATACTGGAGGGAATTACTGCCGGGAATATGGCAGGCGAAAGAGTTGCCTTCGGGGCCCTTTTAATTAAGAAATTGTTGCATTAATCTGCAGACCATCAGCAAACAGAACTTGGGAGAAAACTGCTAAACTCGCGTTAGAAAAATAACAAACAAAGCTGAAACTACTTATAGCAAACCTTCAGAGCCCATTTACGGCTGAAAGTTGCTCCAACTCCGACTCCAACGCCAAGAAGTTAAGGCTGAAGAGCGAAAATGAAACCGGACAGAGATGCTAATGCAGTGACTGAACATAAAAGTAGGGGATAATGGGCTGTTGCTGTGCCACTTGAAGAAAATTTTATAGAATAGAAAATCGATATTAAATGCAGAGTAAGGATTTTAGATATCAAAAACTGTAAGCATGAAACAGTTGCTTGAACAAGTCATTGTTTCTTTTAAATATTAGTAAGGTTTTGTATACTTTCTAAGCTTGTACTTAATTTTGCATTCCTATTACTTAATTTTAAGGGTGCTGCTTAGGCTAAAATATTCTCATAAATACTGTTATTAAATATTTAGTCACTTTTTCTGCCAGTGTCCCAGAGTGTATCCTACGGCTTATGCTAAACATGGCTCTTCTGTTTTGGATGCACTCACGTTAAGATGCATACATCTTAGGCGTTGGCAAGTCTCTCCCCGGCCAAGTGGAGTTGCCAAGTCTCCGAATGCCTTCGTCTTTCGGGGAGACCATTAAGTTGGTCTGACACAAATTTTGCAAAACTAAACGGCCACTTTTTTCGGGTTCATCCATTCGCAGGCAGGAGGACGGCGGAACGTTGACAGGATGCCGGGCGTGGTCTTCCTAATCGTTGTGCCGACGGCGAATTTTGAACGTGAGCTGATTTACGGTAAGTACAGGCCGGCAGGGGCAGGTAAAGGGCGGCAAATTGAATAAGCGCCTGTGCCTAATTAAATACAAAGTTGCAATTTTGTTTACATGACGCGGCATGGCATTTATCTAGGCGTTGGCAACCACATAATCCGCCCCACTCACAAGCCACCGCCATCCGTATCCCAATCCCATCCAGATCCTCTGAAACACAGACACACACACGTAGTACTACACCTGTATGCATTGGGCTTAGGCGCGTAATTACGTTGTTTAGTGGCGTTATTAATTATTTTATGACATCGTAAAAGTGTTCTCTGGGCCTAAGAGCTTGCCATGAATGTTGCATGAACCACGGCCGGAGTTGGGACTGGGACTGGGCACACGTGGGAGTACGAGTAGATTTTCCTTCTTTTTTTTTGTTTCGCATTTTCGGCTTGCGGCATTCGGAGGCGAAACTTTTGCAAAAGATAATTTAACAAGCGGATGCCAAGCGTACGTAGCGTACATTTCGCCGCCCGAAAAATGTAATATTAAAATTTAATTAGCCACGACGACGACGACGATGAGATTGGTCTCAGGAATGCGTAGCTGGTGGGCGGAAACTGATAGCTCTTCGAAAATCAGCGATTGTGTCTGCCGGCGAAACTGAAAATTGGAAAGGGAAAATGGGGAAAACTGGAAAAATGGGAAAAGGCGTAGTCTTTAAATCGACACCGCATTAATTGCAAAAACTTTGCTTACACCACTACTATGTTACTACTAGCCCGGGGCAGTCGCCTGCTCTCTAGTAGCAATCATTTATCACAATCATTGGCGATAAAAGGACCATAATAAAAACCCATAAAACAATATAATTTATGAAATAAATGGCATCAGGCGAAATATGGAATCTTGTGAAATCCAGAATCCAGAATCTAGAACCCGGCGAATGGCAGGCAAAAAACTCTCTGGCATGGCATGTAGGAGTCGTTTTTGTCGTTTTCGCCTGAGGAGCATTAATCAAATATTTATTTAAATACAAAACAGGGCGGGCGCTGGCAAAAGCCATCAAAGAGAATCATCATTAATTTAGTTTGTCACTATGGCAGCGCCCGGTCTGATAATGACAATGGAGCCGAGCCGAGTTGAGTTGAGTCGAGGCCGCCGTTGATGATGAGGAGTGGTTTTGGGCGTGAACAGTAGCTCAGGGTCATGCAAAAAAATAAATCAGCTCTCTGTATACGACTTTATACATATATAGAAAATATATTATGTATATATGGGAAGCCTCTTACCTACAGAGATTAGGGTAGCTCCGTGTCGAAACGCCAATGCTTTTTATGAGCCAAGAAAATGTCGGCCTTGGCAACAGCTTAAAGAGTGCAAAATACTTAAGCAAACAAAGGCAAAAGACTGAGAGATGTGGCTGGGAAAAAAGTCGACATGCACTTGAGAACGCCAGGCTCATAGGTGTCAGACATAAATCACGGATCCTTCAATTCCATGGCGACAGGAGGCAGGAGAGCAGGGAGCCGTTTGACTGGGAATTAAATAGTCAAAGAAGCCAGTGCCTGGTGGTCAGGTGGTGTGGTGATTCTGCTGACTTTTGGAGAACTTTCTCCACTAGCGAAACTATGCGAAAACAAATTCAGAAAAGTGGGTCCACGGGTCCCAAGTCCTTCGTCCTGAGCCTTGGGTGGCTGGGTGGGCCCACAAAGTCCTGGCCTAAGCGCATTTAAGCTTTATTTTGGCATTTGTCAATGTGGCGGGATTTATATTACATTTCGATGTCTGTCTGGGCGCCCGCTTGTTGGCATAATAAATTGTGATCCTTTGTGTGGTTTTTATGTAGACTTTGATTTGATTTTTCGCTTGCCACTTTATTTATTTATTTAGCGCAAGTGGGGCTTAGTTCAGTGGGCGTGTTTGCTCTGCTTTTTTTTTATATTTTGTATTTTGTTTTTCCGGTTTCCCAATTGTTTAAACAGGCATCGCTTTAATACGACCGAAAGCATAAGTTATCTATATAATTGCATAACAACTATTTGGTATTTGTTAACGATAGCCGGGACATTTAATTAGCGTAATTTGCAGCCGGAACGAGCTTAGCGGTCGAAAAGGTACACTGGCAGGGTAAATATTTGCCAGAACGCTTAACTGCATCCAAAAATATTCCAACAATTTGTGCTAATTGCAATATAAATAGTGCAATTGCCGAGAATTAACTAATCACAGCCACATTGCGAAACCATAGGCAACTTGGCAGGACTCTCGAAACTGTGCCAAATTTAATTTAGCAATTCCATGTATCAGATTGTAATCAGATGAAGCTCCCACCTCTCTTCATCAGCATCAACAACTCCATTACCATGTCCATCTCCGTCCCCATGGATTGAGTGTGCAGAATCCTGCTTAATGGCAAATCAGCTTACGTTTATGTACACGGTCATATCACCTTTTCATTAACCCATGCCAGGCACTTCAAATAATGCCCTCGTGGAGGCGACAGCAGGAGCCGGAGTCCAGTCAGGACATCACCACGGCCACCATGCTGCGGTCGGTGCAGGTGGCCCTGGCGGTGGCAACAATAATCTGAACATCAATCTTCCGGAGAATAACAACGCAATACTACGACTCGAAGTTGAATTACGTGACAAGAATGTGCCCAAGTATCGCCGTGGACCGGGTGGAGGAGGAGGGCGTGGCGGTGGACCCGGCCTGGGTCGAGTGGGCGGCGGTGGCGGTGGTATTGGAGCCGCATTCAGTCCAGGATCAGGACCGGGTGCGGTAGCAGCTGACACCTCCACGGTCGTCGGGCCGCTGGACAGACGTAATTTAGTGGTGCCGCTTGAAAAGGTAAGTTGTCCAAGTGCCTGCTCCTCATGTCTCCTGCCTCCTGCCGCTTACAGCAGACGGTCCAGGTCCAGGTTCAGGACCAGTCCAGTCCAGTCCGGTCAAGTGGGCAGAGCTTTATGCTTCCCCGAGCACTTAAAGTTGATTTTCGTGTGCGTTGCGTCACGAGGACAAGGGTTCAATGGTGGCTTTGAGTGCGAGTGGTTGCACTGAGAGAAGGATTCTAGGTGTATTAACGAATTACCATGATATATAGACTTTACTTCCTACAGAATCTTATATATATTTTAAGGGAATACATATTATTTTTGAGTGTAGTGAATCTTTAGGGGTATTGGGATCATGAAAAATAACTTGAATTTCTTCCTTAATGCCTCTATTATTTTATCAAACCTTCGAACAGAAATTACTAAGACTTTCTAATAGTGTAGCACACCGATTGCCACGGCGATTGGCGTTGCGACAGCGATTGTTGCTCCGTTTGTTAGGATGCACTTAACGGACCAGGACGTGACTCAAGCACGCTGCGTAAAAGGTTACCCAAATTGTATCTTGCGGAAGATTATACTGATGAATGAGATGGCTTAGCTGGCCAGGCGGGCAAGATGGATGGATGCACCACTTGGCCAGCCAAGGCCGGCACAAAATTCACCAATTCAATCCAATCCGTCAGGCGATCCTACTAGACCCATACCTGGACCTGGACCCGGGACCCAAGTCCAGGTCCAACCCCAAGCCCAAATACCGATTCCCTGGCGATCCAATTAAATGCAAAGCTGTAAGCCATAAGCCGGCGAAATGCCACACTAAGCTGCCGGTCTCCCGGCTCTGCTTCCCTCTCGCCCCCGACCAGGTACTCGAGGAGCTGCTTGTCAAGCTGGAAATTGAGCACGTTACTTGGACGACGAGCAAGAAAGGTTACTTCCATCACGTCGTCTTCCCACTGCAGGCGGGCGCCGCCTGCGAGACCACCCTGCACTGTCTCACGGAACTGGGCATTGGCACTAAATTGAATTCCAGTGTCAGGTAAGTTGAGACATTGAGAGGGGACAACGCCAGGTGCCAGGTGCCAGGTGGCAGGCGCCAGTCGCCGGCCGCCAATAGCCGAACGTGCTGCGAAAGTCAAGGAGCCCAGCAACAGCTGGCCGGGCTTAGCCAGTTCCTAACTCTCTGCGTCTCTGCGTTTCAATGGAAATTGCAATAAAACTGCAGAAAGATGAGGCGACGAGATGACCGTAGGGATCGATTTCCAAGGTGCTGGGTACCGCTTTTTGATTGCTTGTAGGCGGAAATCGCCGGGAGTCGATTATCCTTGGCAACAGCTGGAGCAAACCAGGCAGAATATCAAGTGCAATTGCCATGCAATGAAAATGCAGTTCAAAGGCAACTTGTTCATTTTGTTACACTTTGAAAATCCTCAGTAATTAAATTAAACAACATACAATGCAACCGAACAATGAACTCTACTGCCACCCATAAGTACAAATTCAATTAAATTAAAGATGAACAAGGCAGAAGGAGCCAGGACAATGGCAGCCATGGCTTGGAGTGGGTATCGTGAAGATAAGTAGGTGTGATAATCATTTAATGGCATTAAGCTGGGGTATTAAAATGCAGTCGAAGGTGTGACCAGGAGCCCCATGGCAGTCAAAAGGCAAAGACCAGATGTTTTCCATGCCCTCGAGGAGCTGAGGTATCCAAAGGAGCTGAGTGGCCAGACAAAGTACGACTTAAGCTGATTAATATGCGCAGAAATTCAATTAAGAAAGGAGCTGCAAGAATGCACCTTGCGTTGATTGAGTGCCACTCGAGTAATCTATAATTCATGTTTACTCCAACGCTACCCTCGCTCGTCTCAAGATCTTCTGTCGTGGCCTTCGCTCCGAGTCCTCCCTCGATGTTGCCAGTTAAATTCCACCACCACCCAATGACATGGCCACGATATGCGCAGGACTTGCTCTACTGAAATGCACTTGCATATATCAATTTCACACGAATTTACAGAGAGAAAAATTAATCAAGAAGTGTAGAGAAGTATTCATTATTATAACTATGCTTAAGATACTTTTATATTTTCTACTCTCTGTTGTATAAAGTAATTCTAATGATATTTCCTCTATCTACTGATATATATTTATCTCCGTGTATTACCCTTCTCTAGCGTACTGCCGTGCAGCGTTAGTTATGATGCCATCACCGATGCGGCCAACATGCGAGATGACTACAGGTGAGTCTGCACTATATGGTTTAGCAGGTGCGTGCACACAGGGTATTGTGTTCAGACGGCTTTGTGTTTACGGGGTTTTGTTTGGACCAGTTAGCAGTGAAGTACCTGTGGACGAGCTGTCGCTTTGTTAAAAACTAATTTCAGCCGCTCTTGCCGACATGTCAAAGGCGTCAGTCATTTCATTAACTTTCACTGGCACTCGCACCTCGAACTCTCACCTCGCGACGGCCTTCATTGCTCACTTTCTAGCGGGAAATCGTGACACTTGGCTCTTTTGGTGCGAATCGCTGTTTGGCATTTTCCCTTTACGGCCGGAGTACTGAAAAAGGAGGCCGTGAAACCTTGGCCCAGGCCCAAGTTTATTGCGGCCCCAGGCCAGACTTATGAGCTACTTGGGCAGGGAAGGGTGAAAGTGTTCGTAGCTTGGTAGGAAAGTGAAAATGACAAAATTTGCATGTGAAAGGGGATGCTGGGTGGAAGGGTCGGGATCTTAGGGCCAGGGGTTAAATGCATCCAGTGTGTGCACACGATTTATGAGCCTCCTCTCATCCGGAATGGCAAAGCCGGTTAAGGCATAAATATACAGAGATACGATGGCTTCTTGGAAAGCAATTGTCACTGGCCCAAAATATGGCAGAGAGCTATGTATGTGCATACCTGATGAGCTTGTAATTGAGGTTAGCTTGTGGTTTATTTTTGGGTGACAATTGAGGCGAAGCTATGGCTAAGTAATTAGAACCACACACTAATCAGCAGTGGACTGAAAGTGCAACCAAAATTATGCCAGGTTATAGTCTCTAACTGAATCAGTATTTTGTTTTGCATTAAAGGAATTTCCTACTAATATTGATTGGTAATATTACACTTGTTTTCAATTTAATAAAACCCACATGGGGCAAAGAATTAGTATCAGTAAAGTGGGTTGCGTTGCACAGCTGGTAGAGATTTAGCCACTGCTCGGTTCTTCCCCTAGAGCTTAAATAGAATTCCTTGCCATTGCTTTTTATTACCTTGTTTATTTATTTTTCCTTTTCAACAAACAAAGCGAGGAAGCCGATGATGCCTCGAAATGGAACAATTTTGTGGAATCAATTAAATCGAAATTAACAGTCAAACAGGTGGTGGACGGTGTGCGGGCCGGAGGATCGCTATCCTTCGACTATCTGCTGCTAATTGTTACCGCCGAGTAAGTACCAAAGGAGGATTGCACAATTAATTCGCAGAAAACCTGACAGCTGACCGTAGGGGTCCACAGGGCATTGAAAACAAGCACTAAAAGGAGTAACCGTAATCGTAATTGTATCCTGCAGCTCCTTGGCGGCCCTCGGTCTGGTGGAGAACAACGCTCCCAATATAGTGGCGGCCATGTTAGTTTCCCCGCTTATGGGTCCAGTGATGTCCATAACATTCGGTGCAATTATCTCCGACAAAGAACTAATGGTAAGTGCAGAATCCCCTTATATGACTGTGGGATTTTTCCAGCGGCCACAAAATGGGGTGTGGCCCTCGGAAATGCCATTCAGACCACCACATTCAGACCTGAAAAATAAGCGAAACAACCACACTGTTGTGTGAAAAATGGAATAGTGGCACGGACTCCTCTCCACCCTCAAAAACCATTTCAAAAAGCGTTAAATGAAATCGTCAACACTGTTTCGAGCGGCGCTTCAATGGTTTCTATGTGTGTAGACTCTCTCTGTACTTTTGAGTGATTTATGAGCAAATGACATTTGGAAAATAATAAAAATTGCACCGAAAATTGGTATGCCAGTCCGTCGTCCATTCCGTTTTGTTCGGTTCCGTTCCATCCATCCGTCCTTTGTGCCAGCTGTCAAAATTCGCAGAAATATGCGATATATACATAGATGCGGGGTTATTCCAGTCAAATGCATTGCGACATAGCGCTTGATGTTTTGCAAATTTGCATCGCTTTTGTGGTAAATGGCAAAAGTTGCTGAATTGTTTATTGACAGCGGCGCTGGCTTGCCTGAAGAGGGTGCCTTTGCCACATGAAATATTTAAATGTTTACCCAAACAAAAATTTTTTCGATAGAGTTGTAACGCCCCCGCCAGCAGTGCGTGTATGATGTTTATTCAAATCGATATCAATAAATACTATGGCATAGCGGAGGCCTGAGGAATTTCATAGAATTTTGTTTTGCCAGAATAATTTATTAGATGGCATAAAAGGGAAGGCAAGACTTCACTGTTCAGTACTTTGTACGCTTTTATTCAAAGTCTGAGAGGGCTTTGCACAAAGTATTTCACGAGTAGTTCATTATGAGAATCGCGAGCTTAAAACCACACCTTGCTGCGGCTAGTAATAATTTTCTGTGCTCCAAAGTCGAGCTAAGCTACTTCGGAATTAAAGGACGCCCAGCACTTGCGAGTCCCATTCAGCGTGGAGCCAATAAAACTGAACTTTAACTGCAGCCAGACGAAGACGACACCGGCAGCTGCTAACCAAAGTGCAATAATTGTCACCGCCAGGTGGCGCAGAGCCATAGTCTGTGATAAGACCGCTCGTCTCCATAGTTTTGTCGGATCAAAGGAGGCGGCGGTTTGCGCTTCAGGAAGCCCAAAGACAGGGCTTAATGTGCAGGCAGGCAGGCAGTGTGGTAAATAGAAGCGGCAAAAAACAACCACAATAAATAGGCAGAATAAAATAAAAGCGAGAAAAATAAAGTAAAATAGAGGGAAAATAAAAATAAGGCAAATATAATCGTCTGCTGCCATTTCTAATGAAGAGACGGCCGGGCCCAGGGAGAGCCTGTGTGGCCGCCCTAGAGGCAACTTGTTGTCTGCTGACACAATTTCCACACACAGCCAGGCAGGTGTGCGCCTTGCCGGGTGTGTTGACATCTGCCTCGTGTACTTCAATTAAATTTTAATTGAAATGAATATATTCGTGTGCGAACGAACACATGCCATCTTGCCAGTGTGTTTGTGTGCATCTTTTCTACCGCCTGGCCCTGCCTGCCTTGCCACGCCTTTTGTGAAGTGGCTCCAGCTGTGTCATCATAATCTTTGATAGAGCCAAACGGTTGAATTGCTAGAACCGCAGCGGAGGAGCATGTCCTGAAATCCTGTCAGCAGCACTTGCGGTCTCAAAAATACTTGCTTACACAATTTTCAGATACTTACTACCCTGAATACATTTCATTTCCTATACCTTCCGGCAACTTGTAACAAGTTTCCAGGCCTTAATGCCTTGCACGCAATTTTACATGTTGAGTTTTTGGAATGGATCAAGCCACAAATATAATATTATTGAATTTTCACTTGTTCTGCATCCGCCTGGAAAAGTTATTTAATTTTCAGCTGACGATAGCTGCTTTTGGCATTCTGAAAAACTCCTCACACCATTGACGGCTTCTGATTTCATTATCAAAATGTTTGAAACTATTACAACGAAAAACGTTTGCAACAGAAAACAAAACCCTCAACCCGATGCACATAGGCTGGGCGAATATTTTTCCAAAGTTATGGCACTGGCATTCAATGTTTGCCAACAAATTCATATGCAAAAGTGTTTAAACAATTTCACACAAAAATGCCAATTACAAACGATGACAAAAATAGCAACATCCCCGGACATGGGTTCCCGTGCAGTGCAAAATTGATGGTCTGCTATTAAAAATAATTGCCAGGGGAAAAAAACACTAGACCGGAACACTGAGTAATAAAGTGAAAACGAGTTGGTTTTCCACATATGGCCAGCCGAAAGCTATTTCAATGCTATTGAATGGCGATTTTTTGTAAATATTTGCACACCATTTAAAGTTGATTCGGTTGTGAGTGTAATTTGTTTGCACATTACGCATTCGCAGTGTGGGCCGTGTGTCTGTGTGTCTGAACGCTTGCTTACCTGCAAATAGAGCAAGAATAAACAATAAACAAGAAATTAGCAAAGTTTTCACACCCAACTTGACTGCCAGTTTGGACAAACTACCCCTCGCCTTTAAACGGCATTCACTATTTGCAACACTTTCAACATTTTTGCCAAACTTGTTAGGAGACTGCTTAAAGCCCCAAGACAAGTTACTTTATATGCGTGGCAGTTGAGTTTGACTGGCGAACGAGGTGGGGCTTGGGTGGGTGGAATGTGGCTTGGATGTAGGGATGTGGAAGCATGAGACACCCACCACCACACCCATTGCTGACTTGGAATGCTGGGACGACATCATGTGGCTGACATTAGAGCCTTTCCTTTGTGTGTGCAGCTGCCAACAACAGTTTGCAGTTGCGTGGCTGCAAATTTGGGTTAACATGTCACGAATCTGCTAGCAGTTCCTGCGCCCTCCCAAGTATGCAGCATTATCGCTTAAAGTGTCGCGGGCTGCGGTCCTTTGCCTCCTTCTTTTGGCATTTAACTTGCTGTCTCAACCCCAATCCTTCCCCAATTGTATAATCTTGCAGGGTGTAACCACTGAAGCAGTCATTTGCGACCCTATAAATCATATATATTCTTGATCATCTTAAAATAATTGATCTAGCTATGTCCGGTCACAATCTATTTTTTCAAAATTTTCACATATTTTTCAAAATTTTATAATGTCTACTTTCTTAAAATTTAAATTAAGTATGCAGATTAGTTTACATATTAAAAACTAGCATAGGAACGCTTTTTGAATCGAAATTAATGCATTCTTGGCCTAGTTATGATAGATTTCCTGACTCAACTACAAGGGTATACAGACTTCGGCTACCGGAAGTAAGCTTCCTTTTTTCTTCTGATTGCAGCGCGTCGGTTTCCTGTGCCTGGCCCTGGGTATGTTCATCTCCCTGCTATTTGGTTTCATCTTTGGCCTGATCCTGGGCACCACCGAGATGCCCTGGGGCCAGAACTCGGACTGGCCCACGGAGGAGATGCGCGGCAGGTAAGGTGAGCCCCTAAACAAGCCCCGAAATCAATGTCAATCAGTCAGAACAATCAGCTTCAGATTGCGGAAAATGGCTCACGTCCAAGCTCGCTACGCAGCAAATCACCGGGAACAATAAATTAATTCCGTCATTTGGCCATTCAACGTTTATTGGTTATAATCAAATTTGACGACTGGCACTGCTGCAGTTGCGGTGCTCCCCGAAATTCCATTTAAATTTCAAAATTGATGCAGAATTTAATTAAGCTATATATGCGTATATATTTATGATTTGCATTTGCGAGCTTTGAACTTGCCAATATGCCAAAGAACGAAACGAGTCTGAGCGACAGCTGTCCATTTATTTGAATTTATCAAACAAATTACTTCAGTCCAAGTAAACTAACTGACTGCCTGGAATAAGCAATTTCTACTACCATTATTTATTCAACACGACCTTAAAATGCATTTTATTCAGTATTAAATTTTCTTTATTGAAATGAAATTACTTCTTATATGGCAATGCTTTGATTTATTTACTGTAAATATTCTGGATTTGTTAAATATTTAAAATTGTAAGCACTTTTTTACGTATAATCATATTGCTGTCTTAAAAAAAAAACATTTAAACTTAACCTTTCCCTAAAAGAAATCCTAACCCTTTCCACAAAATCCAAAATTCTCTTCCACAAACTCAAAGACCAACTCAAAGTCAGCGCTGAGTAAAGTGAGTTTAATGTGAGTGATTCTTTCAAACTTGATTGATACTGTAAAATGCTGATGCGTAAATCAATACCCCCAGGCCATTTTCTAATAATAATTAAAGCGCATTATCATAAGTCATTAATTTCTCCAGGGCCCCCGAAGTGAGGCGCTCGCAAATCCCTTGACTTTCGAAAGTGAATTAAGAGTTTGCCGAAACTCCAAAATCCATTAAGTATGTTAATTATCCAGTGTCTTTGTTACTACGTTAAGACGAAACTCAAGTCTAAGATGCCAGCTAAATCTATGAGTGCGAATGTAACAAATTACTTGCAAATAATTCAAATAATCTAGGGCCGCCTTGGTAATGTGAGGCGTGTGCTCATTAGAGGGCCTTTCTGGGACAATCCTCCCCTGCTCCTGCATGGCCACTTTCACTTTCACTTTCGCATCCGCAGTCACTTGAGTCTATATATATGAGCACACATTTATTACGGCATCGTTTTTTGCCGAACGAATCTTTAAGTCGCCACGCGCCGTCTGCACAAATCTCCTCCAGCAAACTGGGCCCACAATAGAGGCTTAGAGCCACCACGCCCCCACCGGGAGCGGTGGAAAAAGCGCCGGCAACAATAAATTAAGCTCAGCCACAGAATTTGCCGGAAGTTGTGTGAAATGAATGTGTGTCGGCAATTGTGTTAATTGCACAAAATAAATTGTTAAAATAATAATACACACACAATACACAGCAGGCGGAGGCGGTGTTCAAGCTGACATCTGAATATATACGTTGTATATATAACGTATATGCGGCGTATCTGTATAATTAAGTACCCTGGGTCCCGGCTTCATGCTTTATTGTTGCCCAAGTCCAGGCCAAAGTGCCCGTGTCCTGGCGCACATCTTCATCTCAATCTCCATCTCCATCATAATAATGCCCACACATAATGAATTCCTTTGGATTGCGTGTGCCTATCACCGGTCTGTGTGCAATCAGTCCAGAGTTTCCAATGGTCATTCTTATCCAAGGCTCTTGTCGTTGCTCACTGGGCTCAATAATTGTGTCACGTGGCGCGTGAAAATAGAGCCTTGTCATTCGGTCCATTGGATCCTTGACGTTCATTTTAGGCCACGCAAAAGCTTATTAGAAAGGTCAAAGGGTGCAAGAAACTCGAAAAGGTATAGTTGTGGTTAATTAGACTGGGATTTAAATATAAATTACAGTGGATATTAGTATATTTTCCATTATCATGTTATATTTACGATTCTTTAAAAAGAAAAGTGCATACTAGCTTGTAAAATAGACTACTCCATTTATTCAACTTAAAATGGTAATTATATTTTTGTAGATTTCCATATGCTTCACTTTAAAATCCTATTTATGATTAAGTAAATAATAAATATGTAGTAAAAATAATTCATTATTGATTTCCGTTTGTCAAAGGATATAATTTGACCATTAATGTTGCCCGCAAACACTCCGTGTGATTCGGTGACGAAAGGGTTAATTACCTCGCATGGAAATGGAGAACCGCTTAGAGTTATGTTATTTTAATTACGCCCTCCGTTCGCCCTGGTCGCAGCGTGAATAACAACACTGAAATAAATTAAATTTATGCTACTTTGCTGTGTGGGCGTGGTGGCGACACGCCCACATAGTTGCAACTGTCGCCGGCTGCCACATGCCACATGCAAACTGGCCAAAATAATCCAGCAGCCAGGAATGAAGTATCCACACGTATCCATGGCCAGGAGGGGTGGTATTTCCAGCATATTTCACGGCTGCTGGCGGCGGACTGTGTGTGTTTTTGTTTGTTGATTATTACATTTTAAATGCGCACTAAATCCGATTTCCCCTGGCCAGCGCAGCAGCTTAGTTAAATAAATCGCAATTAAAAGCAGAGAACGTCTGTTCGGGGCGTTTTCCATTTTCCCCCTTGATGCGGATAGAAAATGGGGACCGAAGGCTTGTTTAAACGATTTTTTATCCTCAGTTCAAATCGGAATCGGGTCCGGGTTTAGGTTCGGTGTGACCCACGTCAAAGCAAATCTCGATCCTGTTTTTGGCCTCATTTGCATTGTTTTCAATCTACGAAATTTGGGCCGAAACAATTTGCAGCAACAAATTTATACGACTCGCCTCCTAATGTCGGGGCTATAATTGAGCGTAAATTGCCGGCGTATAATAAAGTTGCTTTATGCATAAAAGTTAAATACTTGTATAGCTGAAACTCCGTCGTTCATAAATAAAACTCGCACTTTCGGCGACACACAAAAAACCCCACCAAAGCCAAGTAAAAGCGCCATTAATCAAGAAAAGTTGGTCCCAGGTAAAAAATCCTACAATTTTCATATAGGCAAAAGCAAGGGCAAGGCACAAATGAGGCGCATGAATCAAAAACCGAGAGAGTTATATAACTCGGGCTAGCCAAAGTCTAAAATACCCTAATACCACGCCAAACAAAGTATAGAGCCAAGTGAACAACATTAAACAAATCGGCTGTAAAGATAAATCCAAGGGGTGTCTTCACCAGGGTGAACCTTGCTTACTAAAAGACTTTATAACATATTTAAGAAGCATTAAAAAATAATGAGTAACTTCAAGAATTATAGTGAAAATGGAAAAATAATTTTGTGGGGTCTAATCACTAGCATAAAAGCACTAAAATATGTAAAAGAAAAGACAGCTCAAGAACATAATAAAATAAATTAACAGCGAAATTTCTGTTATCTTTTCAATATATTTTTAAATATTTTTAAAGAAAATTTGTTAAAATATGCAGTAACTAGATATTACCCATCATGACAACACTGCGTATGAGTGATGTTTCCCAAATATAACAACCACTTTGTACTTCAATCGTGTTCCTGCAACCTTGACTCACCCTAAAGTTTTTAGCCAAGGAATTAGGACTAATCACGGCCTTGACTCTCCAAACCTAAGAGGGTAAGAGGGGATGGAATCATAATACCCCTAAGAAGGGTATAAAAGCCGGGGCGCAATGAAAAGTTTGTCCACATTTCTCACCATTAAATGACTCTGACTCCCGACTTCTCGTTGGGCCCAGGGCGACCAGGCTGGTTGGCGGAAGCGATAACAAAGCCGCTGACACTTGACAAACTTGCGCGAATGTCAAAAAATGTCCGCGACCGGGAGATGGGCTGGCTCATTCACCCATCGCCCCCCATGTTGAAAGGTAAAAAATCCGCGTCACCTGCTGCCTCTACCGACGACGAGGTGCTCTTGGCCCACCTGCTGACCCCATCGCGAAACGGCAGATAAGCGGTGTCAGTGGCAGCCGTCCTTGCTGTCCAAACATTCATCTTAATGTGACTTAATTTGCAGTTGGCAATCGCCCCACGGCGCCCCTTTTTTTTCACCCAACTTTTTCAATGGCCCGCGGATGTAGAGCGTTTAGCGGACATTTTCGGGGTCGGCAACATTTGTCATTCGCCGGCTGTTGTGTTTTTAATTAATTTTTATTTTAACATTTCATCTGGTCTCCGCCCTTCTGTTTCCCAGTTGATTTTTCAATAATTTCACCCTCCTCTTCGATTTTTCTTTACAGGGGCAATGTGCGCGCCTTGTGGATGGGCGTGTTGTGGGCCTTGACATCTGGCACTGGCGTTGCCGTGGCCTTGCTCCAAGGCTCCGCAGGTCCTCTGATTGGCGTGGCCATATCCGCCTCCCTGCTGCCGCCCGTCGTGAATTGTGTGAGTATCGAAAATCGAAATGAGAACGAAGCCAAATTGGCAGAGGTATGAGAAAGACTTAATTACCAGAATCGTTTTTATCAGAAATCACAGTACAGTGAATAATTAAAAATTAGACAAGAAAAGATAGGTCTTATTTTCAGCTAAGCTTAAAATAATAATTCTAATAGCTCAGTTTCTTCATCGAAGATCATATATTAAACCCATAACCATTTGATGTGATTGATACCGCCGGTTTGCATACAAATGATAGCCCCCCAAGGCATACATACATACAGTTTTAAGCAGTTGTTTACGAAAACGCAAAACAAAAAATGTAATCTGAAGTTAACTTAATTGGTAAGTCGATACTTGAAGTAAACAATCGAGTCCTTTGACTCACTTGGCACACGTAAATATTTCGGCGTCGAGAAAAAGCCCACTTATATGGCGCCCTTGAAAGCAGCTTCTGCGTAGCAATTTTCGATCCATTAACATGCTATTAACAAAAGCCTGTGCGACCTTCGGTTCCGACAGCGATGAGAATGCGCAGCTTGATATTTCATCATGAGTGAGCAGGTGCCGGAAATGACTTTGCAAGCCATATTTATGGCAAGCCGTGCCCATCCGTCCCCGGAAGAAGGAATTCCTCGAAATGTAAATAACACAGGAACCGAACATTCCAATCAAATATCCACTTTGGTCAGTCGAATGGAAAATTACGCAATTCACATTTATGTAGTATTAAGCTCTCAAGTTTTGACTTTCCTCCCTTTCAGCTCGAGGTCTCCCAGTATCGATGACCGCTGGTTGCCCACAAAATGGCTATATTTCAACTGCCGCAAAACATTGTGCAAACTTCCGAGTGCCTCTAAGCCGTGAGTTGATGGTAACGCACTTAAAACCCAAGTAGCCAATGGAAATGCAAAACGGGGCTAGATGTTGGACAGACCATTCCAATTTTTGTGGCTAGCTAAAGGCCCTTCAAGTGAATTTCGCCATAAATTAGGCTGAAATACAATTTGCTGATTAATCTGAAGTGCATTGCCCAAAAACTTTTGGCCATAAATCTGTCCAGAGGCAGTGGGGGCACCAGGAGCATGGAGCATGGAGCACGAAGCTGAGAAAGGACCGGGTCTCCCAGCTGTTTTCCCCCTCCTGAAAATTTCTGTGGTGCAACCGCAGCGAGTGCATAAATTTCGACCCAATTTTCAAGTGCAAATTGCGAGTCCAACTGCAGGCGGATGTTGCGTAAAATTATAAAGCAGAAGGCTCCGAAGGGAGGCGCAGACAAAAACTTGTGAGCATACAGGAACCGGCATTCAGGCTGGCATGAGAGGAAGGCAGCTAGGCAGGAAAGGACCACACAATCTCACAAACAAACGGCACACAGCCGGCTGACATTTATCAATGCTGACAGAAGGACAAAGGAGCCGCCGCCGGGAGGCGGTCTCCGCAGGCATGACAAAATGATGCAAAAGGCAAATTATGGACACAGCTAACTGCTGAATACTAGCAGCAGCAGCAGCAGCTACTAGCTGGTAACTGGTAGCTGGGATCGCCGAACTTTAAGCGGCTAAAACAATGGCGCTGAAATCGCTTAATCATGGCGGCCGCTGCGGTCGAGCATGTGTGCCAGTGTCGCCCCAGCTCCCCTTGTGTCCTTATGAGCCGCATAAATCAGCGGCACGCACTGGAGCCGAAGCAACCTTTGTCCATGTTTTTTCGGTGCTTCAGTTTTTTTGTTTTTGCCTCAGCAACAAGGAGCGTGTTACAATTAATTGCTTTTGCCTGGCCGTCTGGCCAACAGAGCGTATGAGTAATTTCAAGTACTTGTTTGCTGCTTACATCTCACCGGAGGTGTGGCATGTGTTAAAGGAACTGCTGCAGCTTCACTGGTCTAATAATTGCGACTCTTAATTCCAGCTTATTAAATTGCCAACGACCTTATTTATGTGGCCTGGCAGCTTGAGTTCCGATTGCAAAACGTTCTACACCGCCTTTACTTTTTAAATCGGAGCAAGCAATAATTTACCGAGAAACGGTCGTAAATTCGAATAATAGCGAAAATAGAAAGTAAGTCGAGGAAAAGAAAAGTCATGAGCTCGCACACACAGAAATGGAAAAACAAGCACACACCAGAAGATTTGTGGATATTACAACTGGGGTTAAAATAATAGGAGCGTGGGTTAAGGAAGATTGGAAATCCTTTGAAAAAGTTTATACAACTTAGTAAGATAAGTTTACCTTTTCATATTTAATTCAATCAAATATTTCACCTTAATTGAGCAAACATTATTATACTGAAAAGGATAAAGCAAGGATCTTCTAACTTTAGAGGATACTTTCCGATTATTTTTCTGATACAACTTATCAATATGTGTTTAATATTTTGAATAGCATGATACCCTATTATTTTGACCCCAATTGTTTGACCGCCTGTATATGGGAAAGGCACGCACTTCCGGAGTTGCTGAGCAATGTGCTGAGTCATTATAATTTATAATAGCAAAGAGCAGGGCACAAAAGCGAAATCAAAAAGAAATAGCAAAGAGGAGCAGAGAATGAGAACGAGCAGAAAATGCGACAATGAAGTTCCATCCACCAAGAAGGCGGGGACATATATCTATATAGATATATGGTTTCTGTGTGCGCCCACACACACGCTGGGAGTTTATAACAATTCAAGGCCGGGAAGCACTACTTGGTATGCCAACGGCAGCGGCATCTAGCCGGAACTAAGCACGCGGCGACCTCATGACCTCGAAGAAGGCAAAGGCAGCATCAGACGCCGCACAGTCCTTTTGGTCCGACATGTGACCGTGGCCACTTCAAAGTCACTTCAACCGCCCAGTTTCCACTTTCGCCACTTCCACTTCTGTGTGTTTTGTTGCAGGGTCTCTTCTGGTCACTGGCCTGCATTTGGCTCATCTATCCGGAGAAGCGGATTCCGCACTTGAAGAACGAGGCAATGAACTCGACCAGCGCGTATCCGTTCCTTTACACGAACTACCTGCCCACCGAGTTCCTCATCAATGGCATCGTCTCCGCCTGCCTGACCATCGTGAATGTGATTTGCATATTTATCACGGCCATAATCGTGCTCAAAATTAAAGAGGTCTCCGCACCATATACAGCCAGTCCGGACTTAAAGCGGTAAGTAGAGAGCAATTCCCAGTCACTTTCGCCACTTTTGCGAGCATATTTAAGTCGATGACGACATGCAGTCGATGTCCATTTGTGGTAACCCATTAAAGTGGACCTTAGGCTATAGTTTTATGAATATTTTAGTACAGTCAGGATAAAAGAGTAAAGCCTTAAATTATTTGTAGAAATTACAGCATGATAATCAGATAAGCTATCAATCATACGCAGTGATGTTCACATGTGAAATAGTTATCAATCATAAGCAGTGTTGGCCAACTAAGTTAATGTTGATTGAGCTGTGCCTAGATTTTGTAAAGAGTTATATGTATATCCCTAGATTATAATTATAGTTTTTGCTTCAGAGTTCTACATACTTTTATGTTTTATACAAATAAAGCAAAGTTGTTGCGAAGTCCTTGACAGAGCTAAGTTGTTGACTTCCAAGTCATCCTGGTCCACCCTATGTCACATAATACATATGAATAGCAGCAAATTAAAAATCTGCACAGCGAGATGCGCTGGAGTGTGTTTAATGATGGCGGAGCAAGTGCTTTTAAGCTTATCATTTCCGTTATGTACGCTTGGTCAGTTGCCCATTAGTAAGTGTAATTAATAACGACAACAGAAACAGGCGAGGCGATGGCATAGGACTCTCCGATTCCCCAGCACATAAACGGTTTTGTTTGTGGCTCCTCGGTTGACGCTCATTTAAAATGCACATCTATTAGCAGGCGAATTATATACATATAACATCAACATTGACTTTGACTTAATCAGGGGATAAGTTAATAAATCAGAGCTGTTTGTTTGCGCAATCTTAGATTAACCCCCAGCCATTTCTTCGGTCGAACAATGGAGCAAACACACAACACGTGTGTCCGACCAACAACTAGCTGGGGAAATTAACTTATATTGCCTGACACTTGGCCGGCTGCACATTTAAATCAATAAAGGACCAGAAGCCATAGCAGGAGCACAAGTCGGATTTCAGCTTTCATGTTGATGTGGTGTCATTTCGGCAAAGGATTTTCTTCGTTAGTTTTGCGAGAGCCTCCATCTTAGGCCAAGCGATTTGTTAGCCCCTGTCTCGAGTGCGAAAGAGCACAGAAATTATATATAATATATATATATACATATTTGGCAGCCAACAGCAGCCTGTCTGCACAAGTGCCACGCTCAAAATATGATGTATCGCGTAATTAACTGACTGATTTTGTGTCTTTTTTTTTTTTTGCTTTCGTTGCTGCCCACTCGGTGGCAAGTGGCAAGTGGCCGAGGCAATCTAAATGAAAATAAATGCCCTCCATCGTCGGCTCGAATGACAAATGGGGATCTAAGCTCCAGCGTCTGGGTCTGCCTTAGCGTCTGAATCCGAATCTGAATCTGAATCTGCGGCACTGTCTGCTGCCTTCGTCGAGTGGCGAGGCCAGACATGTGGCTGCCCCAACTGGCGGCCTTTAATTTCCCAGAGTGCCGCATTAAATTGCTTTAAGTGAGGGATAAGCTTTCGTCCAACTCGGTTGTCAACATCCTCATGCGAATGACGCGACGCTCAGAGCCCGCATAAACGGCCCGCGAAAGTGTGCTACAATTTTATTTTCCCTCCTGCCGTTTGCGGCATTCTTTTTATTGTTATAGTGTGTGTGAGTGTGAGTATATGTGAGCCATGTACGTACATATGTCTGAATGTCCTGTGACTATTTCAACGTTTATTTAAGCACGCTCACGCTCGCCTGCCCGCTTGTTTGACTTGTTTGTGTAGCTTTTAGAAATTGTGTGTGCTTTGTTCCATACCCTTGCCAAAGGATATGCTCGTATCGAAGAGCAACATGGCATTACAATCTGTCAGATATTGAACAATTTTGTGTACACAGAAAGGATATTATTTATCCTTTAAAACTGATTCTAAAACAATATGAATTAATGAACAAATGACATATATCACGCTTATGATAATTCTTTTCTCTGGACTTAGACATCTAGTCACTCAGTTCTTATTTTCATATGAGCCGGTCAGACTACTCACTGGCCCACAATCATCCAGTATCCGTTCACGATTGTTTTTGCCTGTTTATTTTCCCCCACTTGGACCGGCATTGGCCAAGGGTTCCAGAGCAGGGCAGAGAACAGGGCAAATAGCTGGAATGGGAGTTACCAACTAAGGACAAAGTGCCCAGCTCTCTCCGCAGGCTGTTGCATTACGCATAAAGTGCATGATTTCATATTTATTTGTTGTTACCCGGCCCCCGAGTTTCCTCGACTATGGCGAATTGGTTTTGTTTTCATTGCTGCGGTTTTTCCTTTGACAGCGGTTTATGGTTGCGAATTTCTTGTCTCCACCAATTCAAAATGATTTTTATGGAGTTTCTGTCAGACGCGTCTCTCTTATGCCAACAGAAAAAAATAAACGAAAATGGGAACAGTTGTCCCAGCTAGCTGCAGGGCACTCCGATAGCCCGAAGGTTATTTCACATAATAGGAAAACTTTCTCGATAGGGACTGCGTAAAATTGAACTAAAAGTTTGGCACAAAAACGTCGTGCGTTGCCAATCCCTCAAAATATATATAATTTTACAGCTCCTTTGGCAGAGTAACTTTGAAGGAGGAAAGTGGAATGACACTACGTCATCTAGACACTAATTGATAAGTCAGAGTTAAACCTACTGCATTAATTTCTTCAATATTACACAGTTATTAAGAGCTCCTTAAGTCTGAAGACTCTAAAACATTTAAATATCTATTTAAGGACTCCTTTAGATTAAAGAATTCATTCATAACTAATATATAAGAACAGAAAACCAATATGGATTCATTATTGAAAATGTTTTTCTGTATGAAAAGTATACAAATATATTTCTTCTATTCGACATAGATTTTGGGAAACAGATCTTCGAACAGTTCGCAAGACGAATCGCTCGACAATGCGTCATCCACGTTCCAGGAGCAGCATGGCTGGTGGAGGAGCTGGAGGTACCATAAGGGGATTGGACAAGCTTGGCGGGTGAGTGGGATGGGGAACTCTGTCGAGACCGACCGCCCCTGAACTGATTCTCATATTTCCCCATATCCTTTACAATTCCGTTTTTGTTGAATAATTGAGCCCGAGCGTGCGTGTCTCTCTGTGTGTGTGTGGCCCCCAATCTCATTGCCATTCACATTCTCATGGACACGTCCTGGGGCCAAGTCAATTTACTCTCCGCATTTGTCTGGCAAATGCTCGAGAGCAATTTGAAAAGGTAAATAATGAAGGTATTTATGTCGTCAGAGGGCAAAGGCCCGCCCGCCCGCAGCCTAGTCCATAAATAAAGAAATACTGCGCTGCACCTTCTGAAAAATATTTATCGCATAATTGAAATCATTGTCAAGTATTTATGGCCTTCTTAGGCCAAAAGCAGACACCGAAAAAGCAACAGCAAATACTTGTAAAAATAAGAAAAGAACTGTAAAAAAAAACCAGGAAGTTGGAACAGACCCAAGTGGTTGGAGTTATGTTGTAGGTCCAGAAAATCCAGAAAAATGGCCATAAACTGTGGTATTCCCTTTAAACGATTTAAGGATTTTCCCACCCCCAACCGATGGATTTGTTTAAATAAACATTTGTAAATAAATTAACAGCAACAGATCCAATATGTATACATATCCGAGGTATAATTTAGGTTGCCCAAAGGGCAAATTGAAAACGAACATTTCGTGTAAATGACGGCTAAATAAACATTTTAATACCTGAAATTCGCAAATGGAAAAAAACGTGGAATAACTACACGTTGTGCTGGACATTATAACAATGCAAATATGTAGATGCAACAAATTAACACACAGCTGCAAGCTTTTTAATTTAGCACAAAACGACGGCAACAATTGTTTACACAAAAACATACAAAACCATTAATGTTTTTGGTAGAGGCCAATTTTTTTCCACAACGACGCGTCGTTGAAAGTTCACGGCATGGTTGCATAAAATTAACACTTCTTTTTATCTCTTTGCATTATTTTTAACCCCACAGAGGATACCGTGGACTTGATGAGCGCGATGCTCAGATGGACAATGCCCTGGAACGGGCCCTGGCCCAGGCCGAGAATGATGCCACTTTCAAGAAGGTCAAGCGGATGAGTTACTCAAGCAACGCTGCTGGCGAGGTGAGGGTATTCTCACTTATATAAATAGATTTTAAAAGAATTTGAAAATCTATAGAGGTATAGATCATTTCAATACAAAATTGTGACTTCCATAGACTAGCTTAGTAATAAAAGCGGTATAAGCTAGACTTTTAGAATTTTTAGGAGCGGAATTTGTATTTAATATTTATACAAAATTTGGGCCCAATTAAAAATTTATTTAAGTCTTAAAATTAATTATTAAAGATAAAAGAAGTCATCGTGAGGCAATTCAAAAGATCATATTAAGTGGCTGTTTAGCCAGAGTTATTTGTTCTCGTCCTGTTGTTCCTGTTCCTGTTGCGCCTTCTCTTGGTGATCACCCTGGGCCTCTTACGGATGTTCTTGAACTTCCTCTTCCGCTTCACCTTTCCACCCTTCGATCCGGATGCGGCCGTAGTAGTATCCGTTCCAGTGGCAGCTGTGGTGTCACCAGTTCCAGAGGCAGCAGTGGTTTCCTCGGCACCAGCAGCAGCTGTGGTTTCTTCGGCTGCAGGAGCCGCTGTGGTGGCGACACATTCGGCATTTAATGCATTCGCAATATCCGTGCAGTCGATACAGGCCGCGTCGGCGGGATCATCCGCACAGGTTACAGCCTGGCCAAGGGAAGGCTGGCCAGGAAGATGGTCGCCAGGAGAGCGCCGAAGATCACTGTACACTTTCTCATCTTTCTGGAGAATGGTAGAGGGAAATGATACTCTTAGGTCTGTGGGATTGTAGCTTTTATAGCGATTTCCCTTCGGATTCATAACCATTCACATGTTTGCACAGCTGCCTAATATCAAATTCTAGGCCTATTTGCTTGATCGGCCTATATTATTTATTTAATTTGCCTATTAGGTCAATTTGATTTGAACAATTTATTTTATGGGGCGTCCTCCTGTTATTATTATATTATTTTATAAACATTTTTTTGTGTCAGAGTAAAAGAAGTTAATAAAAGATTAAGATTGATTTTTAAACCGAAAGCCTAAATTCGTTCGTGCGCGTATTCTAAAGCTTTAAAATAAAAACGAGACTAAAAATAAAAGTGTGTTTTGCATATACATTAATTAAAGCTTTGTTTTGGTATTTTTGGCTGGCCATAAAGCATATCTTAAATCTTGGAATTTCGTATGAATTCATAAATTCAGTATGATAATATATATGACTTTAGATCTATTTGGGTGATCAATTCTAAATACTAAAACTATTAAAATTTATATAATGCAGCTAACATTTTATCTTATACAGTATAATAAATCAAAAACTCCCAAATTCAACACATCAAATCATTCATTGTTTACCCCACTCAACTGACAAAGGTACAAAATACAAGTGAATAATGAATAATGCTGAAACATATACCGAAATTGATATGACTTTTTCAAACCATTCGGTTTTTGGCCTTTAGGTGACTTTTTTTCTAGTGGCAAGGGTTATATTGAGTTGTCTGTTGATGCTGATAAAAAAAACATACATATAGCTTAAAGGATCTTTATTGATTGCATCACTGCTTGGCAGCTTTAGCTTAGTATATCTTGAGAAGCTCACAAAATCAATTAAGAACGCATGAGTATGCTGGTGCAAGGGTGTTGAATATGGGTTGTGTAATGGCCTACATTGAAACAAATTCGAAAAATTTTAAACAATTTTTTTAAATGGTAAACAACAACCTCTTTTCATTCAAAAGCCATAGTTTGCTGAAATGACTGATTATACTGGATGTATAGCTTTTCTAAGTTGTCTCCGATATCTAAAGGTTGCATTATTTAATTTTCAGTAACATAGAGTGTTTTATTTATTTATGGGCCCAATCGAATAACAATTTGCTTTAAATTAAGTCTACAATATTTAAGAGTATAAACGTTTTCCATGTCCAGAATAAATAGCGGTTTGATGTTGTCTAATGGTTTAACCAGAAGTGCTCCTCCTCCTGTTGGTGTTCCTATTCCTGTTCCTGTTGCGCCTCCTCTTGGTGATCACCCTGGGCTTCTTACGGATGTTCTTGAACTTCCTCTTCCGCTTCACCTTTCCACCTTTCGATCCGGATGAGGCCGTAGTAGTATCCGTTCCGGTGGCAGCTGTGGTGTCTCCGGTTCCAGAGGCAGCAGTGGTTTCCTCGGCACCAGCAGCAGCTGTGGTTTCTTCGGCTGCAGGAGCCGCTGTGGTGGCGACACATTCGGCATTTAATGCATTCGCAATATCCGTGCAGTCGATACAGGCCGCGTCGGCGGGATCATCCGCACAGGTTACAGCCTGGCCCAAGGGAAGGCTGGCCAGGAAGATGGTCGCCAGGAGAGCGCCGAAGATCACTGTACACTTTCTCATCTTTCTGGAGAATGGTAGAGGGATATGATACTGTTAGGTCTGTGGGGTTGTAGCTTTTATAGCGATTTTCCATCCGATTGATGCCCATTCACACGTTTGCACAGCTGCGTTTTTGTGTTTGTAGTGTCAAATTCTAGGCCTATTTGCTTAATCGGCCTAATTATTTATTTAATTTTTTTATTTTTTTTAATTTTTTGTCTTTTTATTGTAATTATTTGCATTTATTTGTTAGAAAATACAGAACGTTGCAACGCGTTGGGAAAAGTTAACATTAAGTCTTACCATATCACGACCATCGATGTAATTCATGATGGTAACGCCTAACTAAAGCTCATTAAGTGGAATGAAAACAAATAAGATTACATTCTGATTCAAACTAACTAATATCTTTTGTTGTAAGAATATTGCGATATTGTGTGCGAAGTGCTTCTTTTATACTATTATAATTTATTCAGAAGCTTAAAACGCAGTGATGGTCATATCCGACCCTATAAACCATATTTATTATTGATCAGCATCAACCGCCGAGTCGTTCTACCTAAGTCCGGTCAAAATCTATATTTTTTTTTCAAAATTTTCAAAATTTTATAAGGGGCTACTCGTTAAAATTTGCCAAAATTGATAAAAATGTTCATTTTCTTAAATTTTAATTGGAGTATGCAGATTTGATAACCTTTTAACAACTAACATGGCAATGATTTCCGAAATGAAATAAATGCAGTTTTTCCCAAGATGTAGCATTTTTAAACTTTAAGATTCCCAAAGAAATTTACATATAAAGGTAATAAAAAAATCGATTAAAAGTCCATAGAATGCACTAGTTTGTAATGCAAAAATTCTAAAATTGTCCCCTGGAATGCTTTCGAAAAGATGTCAGAGCCACCTATTCTAACGATTTTATTTTAAATTTTATTCCAGATGTTTATAGCACAGCCTCACAAATTACGTATACGCATAGGTGTATCCTTGAACTGTAGTCGAAAAGTTGTTACTCAGTGAAGGAGTCATTTTAGACCCTATAAATCATATATATTCTTGATCAGCATAAAAAACTGAATTGAGATTTGTTAACCTATTAAAAAATAAGATAAAAGAGATTTCTGAATAGAAATGAATTAATTTTTGGCTGATTTATGAGGATTTTCAAGATCAAAGTGCAATGGTAGAAAAACTTTGGTTTCTTAAAGTTTTTTTACTTGTTGTTCCTGTATTCTACAGTAAAGAAAAATGTATCTTCTATATTATATATAAACATTTCAAAAGTCTTATCTAAGACCAATTGTTTTTATATATACTGTTAATACAGTATACTGCTTAATTTAAGATAATTTAAGATAAAGGCATAACAAATTTATATTGTATTATTTATTTATGGGCCCAATTCGATAAATATTTTCTTAAAATTAAATCTAAAATAGATAACAGTATAGCATCTTTCGTGTCCAGAATAAGTAGCGGTGTAATGTTCTCAAGTGGTTTAACCCGAAGTGCTTCTCCTCCTGTTGTTCCTGCTCCTGTTCCTGTTGCGCCTCCTCCTCGTGATCACCCTTGGCTTCTTGCGGACGATCTTCCTCTTTCTCCTCGTCTTCTTTACACCTTTCGATCCGGATGAGGCCGTAGTGGTATCTGTTCCGGCGGCAGCTGTGGTGTCACCCGCTGCACTGGCAGCAGTGGTTGCCTCGGCACCAGCGGCAGCTGTGGTTTCTTCGGCTGCAGGAGCCGCCGTGGTGGCGGCACATTCGGCATTGGATGCATTCGCAGTATCCGTGCAGTCGATACAGGCCGCATCGGCGGGATCATCCGCACAGGTCACAGCCTGGCCAAAGGGAAGGCTGGCCAGGAAGATGGTCGCCAGGAGGGCACCGATGATCACAGTGGACTTTCTCATGTTGCTAGAGAATGCCAGAAGCAAATGATACTCTCTTGTCACTCGGATACCCGCTTTTATAGTGATTCTCCATCGGATTGATAACATTTTGCAAGTTTGCACAGCTGTTTGCCATTTCGTTTCATCCGCAAATCAGTATTTGTCGTCCAATTGTTTTGTAGATTGGTTCACTTTTGTATTTATTATGTATTGTCTATACATTTTTATCAGGTCGAGGATTCATTTGAATTGGGTATTCAAATTAGTGCAGTCTTTCTCCTTTCAGACTTAAGTCTAATTTTTATTAAGACAACTGATTGCTTTGTTTGGTACATTAATTGAGTTAAATTTCCAAATTGTTCCAAATCGCTTAATAACATTAGAAAAGTTTCAGAAAATATATTTTTTTAAATATTATTTATTTAGATGGAGTACTATAACAGCCATACACTTAACTTGTTCAATATATCAGTATTTTTCCTGTCTTTTAATTTATTTTGAGACCTTAATTTAAAATTTAAATTTTGTTTACCTTTTATTATAAATGTATATTTGTTAGATAGGCACCTGAATGTAAAATGATTACGCACAAAATAAAACTTTAATATTTTTAAATTTTGTTATTGATATAAAAATGTAGAACTTATTCAGGGTTTTTTATTGTCCTGATTCTAATTTAAAGTCTCGTGGTATCGTGAAATTAATCAAAACTTTTGAAGATCTCCATTAAATAAAAGATTTTCTTAATTTTGATACTAATTTGGGACATTTTATTTTTAATAAAATGCATCACACTTTGATTTCTCTCAGGGTTTATTTAATGATAACATATAATATTAAGTTTAAGAAAAAGAAAACTTGAGTGCTTCCCGGGGAGCTTTTGGTTCAGTTTGCTAATGCCAATATATTAAAATAAAAATTAGAAATCCTTTTAATATTAAACTGCAGATTGACTTGGTAAAAATAAGGCTCAAATAGAGAACCTTTTAAATTTAAATTGATCATTTTTGATCCTTAAAAAAGTTTTATAATTCCTGCTTAGCTTACTCTAGATTCTAACTCGATTTAAATAGTCTATGCAAATCGAACTATTCACCCTGCAATACTTTTTAATTTCAGCTATAATTAATTCAATCTATGCATACGGGCCCAATATGATATATATTTCGTTCTTAGATGATAATCAGATTTTAGAGTACAAGCTTTTCGTTTTCGTGTCCTTCAGAAGTGGCGGTTTGATGGTCTCAACAGGATTAACCCAAAGTGTTTCTTCTCCTGTTGGTGCTCCTGTTGGTGTTGGTATTGGTGTTACTGCTGCTGTTCCTGTTCCTGTTGCGCCTCCTCCTCCTGACTACCCTTGGCTTCTTGCGGACGATCCTCCTCTTCCTCTTCGTCTTCTTTACACCTTTCGATCCGGATGAGGCCGTAGTGGTATCTGTTCCGGCGGCAGCTGTGGTGTCACCCGCTGCACTGGCAGCAGTGGTTGCCTCGGCACCAGCAGCAGCTGTGGTTTCTTCGGCAGCAGGAGCCGCCGTGGTGGCGGCACATTCGGCATTGGACGCATTCGCAGTATCCGTGCAGTCGATACAGGCCGCGTCGGCGGGATCATCCGCACAGGTTACAGCCTGGCCAAAGGGAAGGCTGGCCAGGAAGATGGTCGCCAGGAGGGCACCGATGATCACAGTGGACTTCCTCATGTTGCTGGAAGTGGCAGAGGGGACTGATAGCTTCTTCACCCTTGGAGCTTGACTTTTATAGCGATTTCCTCTTCGATTGATATCAAATTCGCAAGTTGCTCAGCTGTTTCAACATCTTTTCGCAACCCATCGGTGTGTTTGATGATGGCTCATTGTGCCAGAGATTGGGCCTAGCTCGGATCTACCAAAATATTTGGCATGCCTTGTCGTTGAATGGGTAGATGGGCAAATGCCGCTGTTAAATAATTTATATTGACTCAGTTGATACAACACTATGTTTGCCATCGATATCTGAAAACTAAAATGCCTGGCGCACCTGTTTATGTTTGCCTTCTGCTGGGGCAAACAGACCGTTTCGTATTTACTTTAATAAACTAGGTTCCATTGAATTGCCTCTTGTTTTCCTCCTTTTCCTGCAGTTTAAAATAAGTTTTTTGGGGTCAGCAAGTATCTTCAAACTGCATTTTTCATGACCCATCGACCACGCAGGCCCTGGGGGCTGGGCGACCGGGCGGCAAGGCAAGGAGGTCTTCCGAAACGGCATTTAAGCTTAATTACTGGCAATTATTTGGCGGTGTCGAGACAGCAGCATAGGGTGGCCAACTGACCTCAATCATTAGTTGATAAGTCCGGCGAGTCGCACAAGAAGTGCACGGGGCCCCGGAAAAAGTGCCGCCCTCCGAGCGATGCGACAATAAAGCAAGTTGCGAGGATCATAAATCAAGGCGGCGTGCAGCGATGGCAAGGACAGTGGAAAAAGGACTCACTCGGGGACACTGCAAACGGCAAAAAGGGCAAAAACTGAAGCAACAACTCGGGGAACACTGAGTAGTTGAAAATCATGTAAGATTTATAGTTAAGCCAGCAGAACCTGTTGGACTCGTTCTAAGGAGCCCGGGATGAAAATAAACTCCTGTCGCTTTTTATGCGCCAGATGAAAGTAGACCCACTGGACAATATCTGTCATTTTGGGAAAGGGGATAACCTTCAGAGCTGCAGTCGTGCCTCCGACCATGTCACTGAGTCCACTTAAGACCGGATTTTCGGGTGTGGCTTTCGAGCAGGAAAGACCTACTTAAGGGGTAACGAAAAAATTACGCACAAATATAAGCAACATCTTGGGATATATAAATTATTTTCCTTTATAGAATGGGTTCTGTTTCTTGTTAGAAAAATGTGCCACATCCCTGCGCTAATTACACCTGAATCCATAATCATAGGGCCTTTTTGCAAAAACTTTCTTAATTTCCTGCTTAAGCGGCAGACACGAGCGAGATGGCGCCTCAATTAAAACTCGCCGGCAAGAAGCATTCAAAAGCCAACCAAGCGTCGATTTGCCACAAATCAACTTCTACATTAATTCCGTTTCCAGCAGGAGGCGGTCCTGCGAGCAGGTGGTCCTGGTGGGAGGAGGAGTGGAGCTCAAGTGGCTGCCAGACTGACATGCTCCAAATATTCCGAGAGATAGAAAACGACGGTCGCCGAATAACCAACCCGAATGCAAAACAAACTGGCAAAGCCTACGGGCGGACGGATGGATGGTCTCCCCCTGCCAGCTTGTAATCAGTTTAAAGTGAGTCCCGGCCACTAAAACTCAATTAACCCCATTTGAATGGAGCACGAGGCAATTGAAAAAACACAGAAACATGAAATGAAAACGAAAACGAAAACCAAAAGAAGTGAAAAGCGTAGAGCGAGCAAATCAAGGCAAAAGATTAAAAACGGAAATGGTCGGCCATTAGTTCGGTGGAAAATGGGGGTGCGGATACCGTTACCCCTCGGCATGGACAAGGGCCAAAGGTTGGCAGCATTTTTCACTTAAAACCGCATTGATACTCAATTACCAGGTCGCCACACCACTTTCAGTCACTCCACTTTGGATACATACAGTCTTCCACTTCCGAAGTTGGACACAAAACAAACGGCGGAAGCGGAGCCCAGGAAAACGGAAGCACTTTGCAACGGAAATGAAACATCAATTAAAGTCGCACTCGAAGCAGCTTGGAGCGGCATCCTGGCATGGCCTGTCAGCCTTCGACTCTGAGAATATATTGCCTTTCTCCTTCAGTGCAGTCGTGGCACTTGGTTGCCACAAGGCCTAGGGGCATATTTCGTTAGTTTTTATGCTTAATTGTAATTTCGCATATGGGAAAACGAAAAGTTTAATTGGCTGCGCTCAAGTAACAGTCTCAGTGTTGCTCACAGGCGATTTATTAAGAGCGAGGGCGGGCTGAGTTGGGTGAGAAGTTTGTGTTTTTGGGCCACAATTGCCAACTAATTGGGCTGAGATATAAAATATAACCGGAGAGGGTTATCAAGGCTGGAGTTATTTGTTTAATTTTAGTTTTCCAAGACTTATTTTAATTAGATTTTTAGAGTAGTTGTTAAGTTAATTGTTTGTTATGGGTTGCTTGTTTATAATAATCTCATTACTAACAAATATATTTCACTACTTTATTACTAAGAAAAGGCTTAAGCTATTGTATACAGTTCTCAAGGTTTATCCTGACAGCGCCTCTTGTTTACTTTTAATTATTTTTAATAATTGAAATTAAAAAAAATCTTTGTTTACTTCCTTCTCTTCGTCAGCTCACCGAACGTCTGGCCAAGATTGCTGGACTCAACCGGCTGAAGACCGACGGCGACCCTGGACAAACAACTCCGGGCAGCCTGTCTGGCAGCCGGATGAATTCCATACCCAACTCCCAGCTAAATGTGGACCTTAAAGCGCTGGACAAGCTGGTGAGCAATCTGTTGGAGCAGCACACGTCCGGAAGCAAGACAGCCGCTTCTGCCACGGAAACTGGAACTCGGACACCGCCGCTGCAGCGCATGGCCTCCAAGAAACTGAACCGTTGGCGACCCCTCTCCCGGTCCGCCCACAGCTACAAGCGAGGGGATAGCAGCGACCTAATTGGAGGGAGCTTCACCCAACTGCTGGAGCGTGTTGATCCGCCAGCCACGTCCACTCAGCATCAGCCCAATATGCCCACGATCATGGAGAGCAGCGCCGGAAGTCCGACACCGAACAATGCCCAGCAGCAGGGGGCTCATCCGCCGGCATGGAGTGCCTCCTTGGAGGCCACGCCAGGAGCAGTGCGAAATGTGCTACACGCTGGCGATGAGGGGAGGAGCAGCAGTTAAATAACTATGTGGGTTAAGCTAACCGATAATCAAATGGTTTTTCCATCAACAACACAATTAATTAAACATGATTAAAAAATATTTATGCAAGAAAAGCGACATATTCGTAATATTATGTCAAATAAAGAAGATATTTCTAGATAGTAGTTGTTCTTGGGAGAATGTATCACGTTGCATAATATAGTATTCACTATTGATATATAATGTATCTCACAAGCTCACCTGTCTCTCCATACGCCGAGAGTTGATCCCGATCGGCGTGTCGATAGTAACCCGTGAGATTGGCTCCAAGCCTCATGGTCACCTCGTATCGGGTTTTACCGCTGCGAGCCAAATTCCGGTTAGTTTTGACGGCGGAATAACGCTGGCCGGGGGGCATGGAACCAATGCGGCTGAAGCTGTCAAAATCGCAGGCCTGATGGCAATCGATGGAGCTGGTGTTGCTGGTGCAGCCTAAAAAGATCCAAAGACTGTGGTAATTGCTTCCCCAAAAAGGTCAATCTACTACGAGTATGTGAAATATTTCATAAAACCCATATTTGTGTGTGTCTGTGTGTGTGTTAGAGCAACCCACACCTGTGGCAACAGAGTGTGTGAATAGAGAGTGTCAGTCTTGCATATATGGGGCACAAAACCCCAAAAAATCGCTTAGGGGTTATCAAGCCGAATGCGGCAAATATGCCAAGCATGTGTCGATGCAAAACGTTTGGATAATCTTCTGAAATAATCTCTCCATTTCGCACTTTTATCCCAGCTCTAAGAGTTCTTTTATATGCCCAACGGGAAAATGGGGCCGAGTGTCAAAATCGATAAAATTGGCATTCTTTTTTTCCTCTGCAGTTCACCTTTGGCTTTGAGGCCCCTGCATTTTACATGCTTACGAATTTTAACCAAGTGCTGGAAGCTCTTTTTTTAACAATTTCTCTGGACCTTACGGCATTTAATACAGTAAAAGATCCTTGGGAAACTCTTTCCCACTTAAGGGGATTTATTTTTGACAGGTTTGAATTTTCTAGAATTTTCAAGCTTATGGTTTTCGAGTTTGCACGAAATGTATTCATAAATTACTCATACGCCAGGTATGCCAATATATCTTTATCTTTTGAAAATCAATGCTTTATTTTACTGTAGGAATTTGTTCAACTTTGCTATAAGCTGAAAGCATTTAGTGATTTTTTAGAACTTGAGCTTAGATTTGCTCGAAATGTATCATAAAAATACTCATACGCCACGTAGGCCATTATGTTTTCAACTTTTAAATTCTTTTTTTTCTACAACACAGCTTTTACTGGACCGAAAACTGAACTGTATTTAGTTAAATTTCTAAAGCTTAAGGTTTTAAAGGTTTTACAATATATATACATATTAATATTACTCATACGCCAAGTATGCCACTATATATTTTATTTAAAAATTATTTTTCTTCTATGAGAGCTTTCACTGTACCGAAATCGCTTCCGATTTTCTTGACGGTTTTCTGGAATGCAAATAGCTGAGTTCTTGGATTCCTTCATTCTCTGGGAATCACCGGAACATCGGACAATCCGCTTGCAGCACTGGACTTCATCTTTTGTGCCTCGTAGTCTCATTCCCATTACCATTGCAGCACTTTGCGATTCAATGAACTGCGCAACTTAAACCTTAAACAATGTTGGCGCTGGTGACATGTTCGTTGTTGTTCTTGTCATGGGGTTTTCCAACCTTTTCCCCCCGGCATTCGTGAAATGCTGATGGTTGGAGGAGGGAAATTGGCACGGATCCCGGCCAGCGACAACCTGAGGTTTTCCGGTGCTGTGTGCTACTGGCTTTTAATGCTTCTGGCTGCAGTTGTTATACATTTTTATTGTTTTTGCACGCACTTGGCGATTAAATGGCGCAAGAGGACTGGCAGATTGAGTGGGAAAACAAAAAATGAAGCATCCTTTCAGTTTGTCTGCCCTGCGTCTGAGCGGGCACCTCAGCTGCATTGAGTGCATTTTTAATGCTAATTATTTCCTTAATTACATTTTCACTTTAACAGCAGTGTCCATTCCCCGTTCCGCCCTCTGGCTTTTTTATGCCCCCACAGTTTTTTTTGGGTCCTGGCGCCTTTTAGCCGGTCTGTATATGTGTGTATATATGTATTATATATATCTGGGAAATAACATTTATTATTGCACTTACCCTGCGTCGTCTCGTTTATTTCGGGTATTTCACATCTGGTCCCCTTGAAGCCCTTCGGACAGTGGCAAGTTATGGCGGCGTCGCCGATGTGCCTGCGAATGACGATCCGACAATAAGAAAATTGGGCCAGAAAAAGGGGGCCAATAACATGCGAGTGGGCCAAAAAAAATAAATGTATGTACCAGAGTGAATTCATATATCGCCGGTCTTAATTCTGGCTTGTTTGGGGTTCGAGTATTAAAGTTTTTCCTTTGAAACGAAAAACCATTGCATATTTCAAGAGGCTCCTATATTGCTAAGAGCTGTTTTTTAATGGATATTCATGAAAGCTCGAAAAAGAATACCCAGCTGTACGCTTCGAAAAAGTAATACAACAATTTAGTTAAGGTAAATAAATGATAAGAAAATAAATTCCCCTGAAAGCCATGTTTGATGTTATAAACAATTATTGGAAGCGGAATAAAATCTCGTTTGTCGTTTTATTAGTGCTTACATTTTATCGAAACTCTGAGTAAGTTCAATTGATTTTCGCGGGCTCTTAAATTATTATGAGGACTTGAAAAAGTCATTTCCATTGTTTGATGGCTTTTTCTCTTACTTGTAAGAATCGGCTTTTCGATGCAAATTTGAAAACAAAAAAATTCACTTACTTGCAAGTGCCGCCGTTCTGACAAACGTTGGTGTGCAGGTCCTGGCACAGTGGGCCATGTCCACAGTCGCTGCCACTGAAGCCGGGAAAGCAGGCGCATCCATACAAGCTGCAAGGACAAAGAGCGTAAAGGATATAAGTGGGAGCACGTTTCGAGTTCTGTTTGGCGATCTGGAGAGCAGTTTGACCGGAACTGCAGGCAGGACACTGGCCGAGCGACAAGTTGTCACCGCGCAGGACTCGCACTTATCTGGACCCGAGATTGCGGCTGACTCATAAAAGTTTTATTGGACCCACTTGATGGGGGAGAGTTTTTTCATCTCGCTTTTTTTGTTGTTGTGAACGTGCCTAAACTGAATTTGTAGTTATCCGGAATCTCGCCCCAGCAGCATCATCATCAGATACAGATGCCGAGGTCAAACACTCGGCCAGAGACAATAATTTAAATATGTAAGCTGCCGGCTGGCCAAGGTCATGGAAAACAGTAAAATAGTCTGTCGCCAGGACATCCTTAAGAAGGTTTTATTTGGCAAAATAACCGAACTGATTTACTTTAAAAAAGTAAACTTCTTAGAACTCAAGTAACAATCAATTTTTAATTTGGTTTCAAATCTGTCTGCAAACTTATGAAAGTGAAAGAAAGAATCCGTAAAAAGCATAATGTGAAATATTTGTTAGTATTAAATACTCAAAGGCATTACTTGTGGGCAACTTTATATGGCATTTAATTTTAATGACAACAGCTTAAAACCCTTTCTGTACATGCGAATTTCCTGGAAATTACACTTTTCTGCTGCCAAAGAAAATCATTAAAGAAGGGATCAGAAATATAATGATATATATAATGCCATGAAATCCATTTCGCTGGAAAATGGCAGACATTTAAAATCACAGAACATAATTCACGCTTACAGCATTTTTGACAATTTAATTGGGCTCCCCAGCTGACCGAATTTTCGGGAAAAAAACGTGTAACCATTTGTTCAAAATAATTGGGCATCCTTTGCCATTTGTTTTACCCCTTGTCGCTCGTTTTTCAACTGGAATAGCAATTGTTATCCTGCTGTTTGTTAGTCATGCGTTGCTGACACACGTCAACCGAAATTAATTTTCCATTTTGTCCCTTCTGACCCATCCCGCTGCTGTTGCTGTTTTGGCAAAAAGGTCAGGACCTCGAGTCCTTGTAAAGCGTGAAAAGCTGAGAGTAAAGCCGTGCTAAATCCACTTCCCTTGCTTGTCACTTCTTCCGGATCCTGGCTATAATGCGTATTCAATGAGAGAAGAAATTTCTAATTGATCTATTAGTGCCATCTGCAGTGTACCGTCTCTCCACTATTACCATCAAACTCGAATCATTTTTTTGGGGTAAGGACTCATCCCAGCAAAGGAGGTTAAAGCGAAAAAAAGTTTAGCGCCGTCGCGTCGTCAGACGGCCGAATAATCAAATGTTCCCCAGGGGGGAAAATGGCAAAAAACAAAAAGTGACGAGAAAACTTTTCTGATGGCCGTAAAACTTTTACTTTTATGCGAAATCTTGGTGCGGGCTTTGAAATAAGACGAAGCATGGAGACAATTTTTGAGTTGGAAATTTCATTGGTGACCGCAATTATGCAAAGTATTTGTATTTCGCTCTAGACAGAATTCCAAGCAAGTCCAACCACCATATATATTATGAACAAGAAGCAGTTTATCATTCGCACATGGATATAACCAGGCAGCATGCTTAGTTTTCCGAAGCCGCCCCTTTGTTAGGCTTACACACTGACCTACACACTGGCAGGACCTGCTCTTGTTACATAAGAATGCTGTGGTCCTGTTCGCCAGGCCATTGTACGGCGGAAATTAATTGCCTTGTGTTTTGACATCTGCGATGCTCAGAACTCCATGCTGCCTATTTATCGCCATCGTTTCGTGTCGTGCCTTCTGCGACGGAAGCGCTTTTTCCCAGACAACCCACATACGATGTACTTGGCTTTATTTTGTTGAACATTTTCTATTTATAAAAGAAAATCTTACAAGTTGAGTGAAATTGAGTAACTAAGTGGGAAAAAGTAACTTTACCAAAGCCTAACTTTTGTCTTTAAATGTTCATTAATTATTAATTTAATGCCGCGAGTTCTTGATTTACCAGGGTGTTGTTAATTATTAAAAGGTTAACTTCCAGTAACTTAAGACAACACTCATTATTTATTTAAAAACTTTTAAACATGTTTTTAATTTGTAAAAACGTGTGGTTGACTTGGGAAAAGTATTCTTCAAAGTTGATTTGGAGTATTGGTTACAGACTAACATATACTTTCTTCAAGCTTACACAACTCGGACTGTTGTTAAGCAATAAATCAATTTAAAAGAAAATCTCTTTTGCAACCTTAAAGTTTACTCATCGATGGCTATTCGTAAGGATAAACCAGCAGAGGGAAAATAAAAAAGGGAAAACTCAGGAACATTTCCGCTGAAGCCATGGCACTAAACCTTCTTCATTTCAATGAAGCGGGCTTTGCATTTTTTACGAATCGCCGAAAATCACCTGCAGCTGGTTTTTGGGCCGTGTGTTCGCAAGTTTTGCTAGGTGTTTTCTTTATTTTTTTTTTTTTTACACTCTGTATTTTTTGCATAATTCTGTGTATTTTGCGACATGTGCACTTCGAAATGTATTTTTTTGTACACAAAAAGTATTTGGCACACAAAGTTGATTTTTTTTTTTTTGGCTTTTTATTTGTGCTTACCGCCGCCGGCCCTTTTGTTTAAAACAAAAATTAAATGTCCTGGTGCTGCGCATACGGAAGGCATGTGTTACTCGGACATTCCATTGGCGGTGAGTAGATCCCAGGGCATGGCATTGTTTTGACTGCTTTTGGCAATCCAATTTTGTCGCATTTTAAATTCATTCAGATTCGGAAAGCCGAACAATTAAAATCGCTTGCCAAAAATCTGCAGCAAGTTTATGCGACTGCACTCGAAAAACTGCTGACAACGCGAGCAGGGGAAATGCTTGACTGCATTTGGCGAAATGACGTTGGGGCGAATGGCTCAATGGTTATGGCTAACCCAAAATACATATACACATATGGCAGCCATGAATATGTCATATATAGTCGCCAAAAGTTGCCCCCGGGTTTTGATACCCGGTAATTTATAGAATTACAAAGGGGTATATGGAGTTGGGGGAAAGCTCAAGTCATATTTTTACATGTAATTAAAGGTTTATTGTTAGCAACATAATTTTAATTAATTACATACCTTGGGTGTAATATTTATTCATCTCAAGCTTAGAGCTAGCTTAGAGTGCCAGGTATTTAATGTTCGTTATCCTCTTAGTTTGCCTTTTTTCTTCTCAGTTCCCGGATCTTCGGAGTTGGGTTACTTAGTTGCGAGATGCTGCCCAGAATTCTGACAGATTTTTGACAAAAAGCCAAAGTGCATGGAAGGAAAATATGATCATTCATACATGCAAGAAAGCATTATGGGCTTTAAAGTCAATACCATTCTTGGCTGTGCTCCTTCTACACTGTCTCCCTTCAGATTGAATTGCTTTTCGCAAAAGGAGAATAAATAATTAAAAAACGCAGGCAATCGAATCAAAGTCCAATGAATTTTCACTCTCGCATTTAATTTCACTTTAAATGACGTGTGTATTCGAGTGTATATAGTATATATACCTTATAGGGACGCGTGCGATGGAAACGCAATGAAATTACAACAAATTGCTTTTTCCTTGCCGGTGGCACGTGGAGCCGTAAAAGGAAGCGGTTGAACAAGAAAAAAGTATAAAAAAATAGGCAAGAAAAGGCTGAAATGTTGGCAATTACTTTTTCATCCATTCGCCTAATGCAATAAAATTTAATTTGATGGTCGTATGTGAAAAGGTGACTGCGCGGGAGGCGGCGGCACAGGGAAAAGGGTTTGTGAAATGTTTTGTGGCCGCCATTTCACCGCTTCGCAGTCGTAAAACACAAAAGGATGTTAAATATGAAATATATATATACATTTTATATAAAGCGAGCTTTTTTCTATTTGCATTTTAATGGTTTTGTTTTTTTGCATAAAACTTGCTGTTTTTTTTTAAATAATAGCCATGATATCTTATTTGTTAAGAAAGAAGTTTCCTTTCAATTATGATAGCTTTCAATATCTATTTGTTTTTTGACTCAAATTAAGTGCCCTGAATGGGAAGACCATAGACAATAAAAGATCAGCAAGTATCATTCAACATTAAGTTAAAATAAAGAGTAAGTAACTCAGATCAGTAAACAACTAGTATCAGTAAGTATCTATGACCAATGAGTATTTATGATCAGTCAGTAACTCTGAACAGTAAGTATCTATGACCAGTAAGTATGTATGATCAGTTCCTAACTTTGAACACTAATAAACAATGACTTGCAACTTTTGAAAAACAACACATGCCTGAGGCATATCCAGCAGCAGTCACTTCGTTCCGGGGATGTTAGAAGCAGTTGGGAATCATAATAACTATGATCAGCAATTAACTATGAGCAGTTGGTACTTATGAGCAGTAAGTACTTATGAGCCGTAAGTAACTCTGAAGAGTAAGTACCTATGACTAGTACTTAACTATGATCGGTAAGTTTCTATGAACAGTAAGTAACTCTGAACATTGATTATCTATGACCAGTAAGTGACTATGATCAGTAACTATCTATGACCAGTAAGTATATATGATCAGTTTCTAACTTTGAACACTAATAAACAATGACTTGCAACTTTTGAAAAACAACACATGCCTGAGGCATGGCCGGCAGCAGTCACTTCGTTCCGGGGATGTTAAAACTAGTTGAGAATCATAATTACTATGATCAGCAATTAACTATGAGCAGTGGGTACTTATGAGCTGTAAGTAACTCTGAAGAGTAAGTATCTATGACTAGTAATTAACTATGGTCAGTAAGTTTCTATGAACAGTTAGTAACTCTGAACATTAATTATCTATGACCAGTAAGTAGCTATGATCAGTAACTATCTATGACCAGTTAGTATGTATGATCAGTTACTAACTTTGAACACTAATAAACAATGACTTGCAACTTTTGAAACACAACACATGCCAGAGGCATGGCCTGCAGCAGTCACTTCGTTCCTGGGATGTCA